ACTGAAAGTGTAAATAAAGACTAAAAGTTATAATAGATAATGTGAAATAGGAAGAAAGGGGCCAAAGGGGAAGAGGAAGTGGGAGGGGTAGGGGAAAGGAAAGAAGGGAATGGAATTAATATGAGAAAATGAAAAAATGGAAACAAAGTCTTTGTAAAGAGGGAGGGATGGAGGGGTTGAAGGGAGGGCAGGGGAAGGGGAAAAATAAGAACAAAGAGAGATTATATAAAAGTGCAAATTTTCAATGATGATGAATATCATATTGTATACCTAAAATGTACCAATAAAATAAAATTTTAAAAAATAATTTTAAAATGACAGTAAAGCTAGAAATTTTATTTGACTCAGTTTTTCCCGTTCTAGGTTATCTTCCCAAAAGAGTTAGAAACATTATATTACAGTGATACATGCACACCTATGTTTATAAAGAAAATGTAATATTTTACACACTGAGGTACTCCTCTGTCAAAAAGAAGAATAAAATAGGAAAATGGGTGAACTCAGAGACCATAATGTTAAGTGAAATATATCAGACACACAAGCTTAAATATTGCATTCTTTTTTTAAAATTAATTTTATTGGTACATTTTAGGTATACAATATAATGACATTCATCATTGGAAATTTGTACCTTTACATAATCTCTCTTGGTTCTTATTTTTCCCCTATTCCCCTGCCTGCCCTTCAACCCCTTCATCCCTCCCTATTTACAAAAACTTTGTTTCCATTTTTTTATTTTCACATATTAATTCCATTCCTTTCTTTCCTTTCCCCTACCCCTCCTACTTCCCCTTCCCTGCATTCTTTCTCTTATATGAGAAGAGCAAAGTAAAAGATAGATAATAGGAAACACTAAGATAGATCTTTTTCACATGGGAAGAGGACTAAGAGATGGAGGAAGAAGGAAGGGGAAGAGAATGGGATAAAAAAATTAAGATGATTTATGTATACGTGCCAACTCCCCACAAGGAATCCGATCACAATGTACTACAAACATGTACTAATAAGAAATATCCTAAATTTTTCAGGGGATCAAACTCAGGACCTTGCACTTGCGAGGCAGGCGCAGCGCCACTGAGCTAAATCCCTGACCCTCTAAATTTTTTAAAAGACTGCCTATTAGGTATTATAAACTATTTTAAAAGAGGAAATGTAGAGAAAATAAACCTATTTTCATCATCTATACCTGTATGCCCATCCACCATCTTTCCATGCATCTATAATCATTCATCTAGAAATCTGTATGCACTCATGATACCCAGAATGACTTTCACCTAATGCTCACGTTATTTATGGGGTAGTGTGCTTTGGGTTGATTTTACTTTGCTTCTCTCCTCTTTGAGGTGTATTTTCAAATATCATCTTTTCATTGAAACTGACATCCTATTTAAAATATCTATCCATTCTGATGTTCCCAGTACCCAATTCCTGCTTTACTTTATTTGTCACACTTCCTTATCTCTCATGCTCTAAAATGTAGTGTTTTTATTATTTGTTAATTTCTCCTGCTAACATGTACACTCCATGAAATCTGGCAATGTCCTACCTGTTTTGTTTTTTCTCTAGGATCTAGAACAGTGCTTGGTGCCTGATGTGTGTTCAATAAATATTTAAATGAGTGTCCTTTCATATTCTAAGTTTGACACAATGAGCATGTCTGTAATTTTTGCTCCCTACCCCCTAAAAACAAATATTTCCTTTTTTAAAAAAGAAGAAAAAGACAGGACAGAAAGTAAACACATCAAGAAATTAACAGTGCTTAAATCTGGCAAAAGAAACATGAATTTTTTTCTTTATATTTTTGTTTTTAATTTCCCAACATTAGGAACAATTTTAAGGACAAATGACAGGTTGATTATTGATTATAAAAATTAGTCTCCTCCTCTAGAATCCTATAAAATAACAAATTATTTTTAAAAGAGGGAGAGAAACAGACCACAATGATGGCCATGGAACAAATGTCCTTTGGAGGGATGTTGTTCACCTAACTGCCTTCCTGGTTTGGGGAATGCTCTGGCTTCCCACTATAGAAACCAGATCCTATTTTCCTTCATTACTTGGCAGTCAATGCATAAGTCTTTGACTTAGTTTTAGCATATCAGGCACTGCATGAGGATCTTCAGTCTTGATAATGTAACACAGATGGCAAGATATTTAAGATAGGATTGTAGCCATCATTAGCATCTAATTGGAATTTGCCAACTTGTGAGAACTAATTATACTATTACCTATTGTCACATAAAATGAAGTGCCTCATGAGGACAAAACTTAGGGATTCACTTTGCAGCTACTGTTAACAAAATTAAAGGATGAGAATTTCAAAGACAGCTGGCTAGAAATAGGAAAGGTATGGAAACTCAGGGATCCGTGAAAAAGAAACATTTCTTGGAGCCGGAGCCACAGTGCTGTAGAAATTAAAAGCCAAACTCAGTATTTGGTTCTACAGGTTGCCAAATTATATCAGTTGAATTCATAGATTCACCAAGTTTTTGTGTAGGAAAAAAGGAAGATCCATAATATTAGAATGTATGTTGGTGAGATTAGGGGATTCTGAGTATCAGCAAGTTCCTGAGGATGGGTAAGAATGGATTATGAGTTTCAAGTTTCACATATAATCACTATCCATACAGGCTTAATCAACAGAGTTCTTGATTCATTATTTTGGTTTGAGCTCGCTTAACTCGTTAAAGAAAATAAACAGTGACACTCTGAACATATAGTATAAATAACATATAGTATAAAACACTCCCTGTAATAAGCCATAACCATAAGTTTAATAGCTTCCCTCTAGCAAATCATCAAACTGAAGCTGGTTTGAAAACCTCTCAAACTTGCAACTGGTGTCAGAAGCCTTGGGAACAGTGCCCTCACATCCTGCAGTGTACCTAACTCTGGGCAAAAAGTGAAGAAAATGGAAAAACAATTCATTTTGTTCCTTAGCTAGTTAGTATTTGTAAATATAAATATTTCTTTCTTTAAGAAGCAAACAAAATATCAAAACCACAGTGTGACACTTCACACCCAGTAGAAAGGCTATAATCAAAAAGAGATGATAACAAGTGTTGGTAAAGATATGGAAAAATTAGAGCCACATAAAGAATCAGTAGGAGTGTAAAATGGTACAGCTACTTTGGAAAACAGCCTCTAGTAATCCCTCAAATGGTTAAGCAGAGTAGCCACAAGATCCAACAATTTTACTCCTAGTTCTATACACAAGAGAAGTTAACACTTATGTCCACACAAAAACTTTTTTCACAAATGCTCACCGTGCCATCATTTGTAAGAGCCAAAAGATGGAAATGACCTAAATGTCCATCAGTTGATTAATGGAAAAAAGAATAAATGTGATACAGTAGATATACTATAACTTATTACTTGGCAATAGCTATTAGTTGGCAATAAAAAGAAATGAACTACCAGTGTATTTTACACTATGGAAGAACCTTGAAGCCATGCTAAGTCAAAGCACACAGACATAATGGCTACATGATATAATTCCATTTATATGAAATCTGTGGAATAAGTAAGTCTACAAAGACAGATTGCCTAGGGCTGGGCAGGGTTTGGGAGAAAATGCGTGACTTGCTAATGATTGCACGAGGTCTTGGCGAGTGTCACAAAAATGGCTTGAAATTGTGACTTTGCACAACCTACTACTTAAAAACCGCTTTGTTTGTCCACTTTAAATCGGTGAATTGCCTGTTAAGATACGTGAATCGGGTCGCCACAAAGCTGGTTTGCTTTGTTTTGAACGTGCGTTGGTAATAAGATGATATCTGAGATCAACAAAACTGAATTAGTTCAGTGATTTTTTTTTCCCCAAAATTCCTCGATTGGACTTTCCCGGTCTTCACAAAAATGAAAGTGGGCTGTGATCATTTTCTAAGCACGCCAGGAAAATATGGACTGGAATTTGAGATTTCCGAGTTTCGTCTCCGGGCACCCACGCTGAACGAGATCCGGAGATCCTAGAGCCACGATTTATATCTTTCTCAGTGCTTCCTGCAGGGGGGGCGCGGGACTCAGCGAGACGGCGGAACTCCCTGGACGGAGCCGGGCCGACCCAGGCCCTCGGGAAACCTGCTCTTCGGGGTCCTAAGGAGCAACCTCCGCACACAGCTGAGGGAGGTGCGCGGCCCTTCCCAGAAGTGCGGCCAGGGGGCGCTGCCTGGAGCCGCAGCGCGCGTGGAGACCCGGATTCCGGGAGGACGGCGCGCGTCGTCTTCCCGACGTTGCCGGAGCGAGGGACCCAGGGCCGCCCACGGGCGACTCTCCCCGCCCCGATCGCATCCCTGTCGGGCTCCTCCTCTTCCCCTCTGCAGCGGCCGCCGTCCCGCCCTCGCCTCAAACCCAAACACTCCTCGCTCCTGCTGCGCGGGTCGCGCGTGACCGCTCGGCTGCCGCTGCTGCTGCCGCTGCCGTCGCCGCTGCCGTTTTCCCCAGCTCCCGGACCGGTCCCGGCCGCGCGATGCTGCTGCTGGCCGCCGCCTTCCTTGTGGCCTTCGTGCTGCTGCTCTACATGGTGTCTCCGCTCATCAGCCCCAAGCCCCTCGCCCTGCCCGGGGCGCACGTAGTGGTGAGTGGCCTCCTGTTGCTGCGCCCGACCTCCTGGCCCCAGGCCGCCGTCCTTTCCTTCAGGCCGTGCCTCCCCGGAAGGGACGGCTCCCAGGAGGGAGGAGGCTCACCTGCCGCCGTGCACCCAGACGCAGCCCCTGCGGCCTCGGGGACCCGCCCTCCGCGACGTCTGGCTTCTCCCGGGCAGGAGAGCGGTGTGCCGCGGTCCGCGCCAGTCAGCTAGCTGCGTTCTGGAGGCTTCAGGGACTCGTAGGTGCTCGTTAATTCCGGGAGCATCCCTGGGAAGTGGGTATTTTGGTCCTCCGACTTCCGAAGGAGTCAACAGAGAGGCTGAGAAACTTTGCCAAGAACACATCGGTCGGGGGCGCGTGGACCCAGGCAGGAGCAGTCAGTAGGGGTGGCAGGAGGACCGCCGGATCCCAGCCGCCCCCGGACCCGGCCAGGCGGCTCGGGACTGGAGGGTGGCCTGTGCAAGTGACCGGGCACTTGCCAAAGGATTCCAGGAAGTGACTCACCTAGGAAAAAATTGCTCAGAAGCCAGGGTTGATGGTCTTGGCCATTGGTGCAGGGAAGTCCCTGAGCTCAGCAGGGGTCTTCTGATTGCCGCTCCAGTGTGGTCCTTTGTAGTCGTTCCAGAGTTGGAAGGCTGAGGTAAACGACAGAGGCTTGGGCTTTAGGCCGGAAGGAGATGAGAATGGTCGGTTTGTTTCGCGTTCAGCCATCTCCATTCCCCAAGTATGGCACCTTTCTCCACCGGGGAGAACGCGTTCTCCCCTGCGCTCAGCACTTCACGGTTGGCAGTGATCTTCTCATCAGTGTTCCTAGTTACACCTCACACCTGAGGCTCGCGGGCGCGGGGGTGGGGGGGTAGTGAATAAGAAGGGTGGGTTACCAAGCTGGCAAGACGCAATTTCTTGGTGCCCGAGGTGAGGACGCTTGCTTTCCCATTGAGCTCTTGTAGGATGGGATGGTCATTTGTCTTAGTGCACTTCAAAAATCTGGATAAGGGTTTATGGTTGAGAAACTGTATTTTCTTTAATTTCTCCTTTGTAAAACTATTAGGTTTTTTCCAGCTCTTGGTGTCTTTATGTGGAAGGTGAGAAGTTGAGTGTAGATGAGACAAAGAGAGAGAAATTCACAAGAGAACTTCTGCCTCAGAAGCATGCTTTTCAAAGTTGAGTTCTTTCAGAAGTTGTCCTTGCATACTCTTAACTTGGGGAAAAAAGTAGAAGTAAAATAATAAAAATAAATAATGAAAAATTTGACTCAGTAGTTACAAAACAGTTAACTTTGACACTAATCGTTTTGTTTCCTCAACCTCAGGCCATAGGTAACATAACAAAGGCCTTATCTGTTGGAACAGACCAAGAATTACTTATTTTCACCATCTTACTTTAATACTATAAATGAATATATATATAACTATAAATAATGAGAGCATGACCTGAATAATTCACCTAGTGTCACCATTCTTTAATGTAAGAAGAGTAAAGTAGTGGTGCACACTTGTAATCCCTGCTCTGGGAGGCTGAGGCAGGAGGATCACTGTGAGTTCAAGGCCAGCTTAAACTACACAGTGAGACCCTGTGTAAAAAAAAAAAAAAAAGTAAAGTGTAATGAAATTGGTCAGATATAAAGCAGGTGACATGGGTGGGAGGAGGAGGCTAATCTTTTAGGCTGTCTGCCTGTGTGGCAGCATGGACAGTTTGTACCAGTTTACTGATCAGTTTCAGCGACAATTATTATCTGCTAGTGTGCTCTGTGTCATTGCAGCAGTGAAGCCGTGCAGCACATCTCACACTGGTGCATGTTTCAGGCCTACCTTTTTGGGTGGCTGGAAGCAGCTCTCTTGGCAGCAAGCCAGCTCTGTTGCCCTTAATGAGAGCTACGTGATGTGATTGAAGGGATAGTACATTTGAACGATATTTGCAATGAGTAGTAAAAGAGTGATCAAGGAAGGAAATTGAACCGGTATCTTTAGTGTCCTCCTCCAGGGTTCATTTTAGCAATTGTCAGACAACTCAATAGACATACACTTTTTTTCAGCCATTGTGGAAAACCCCTGATATTTCTAATAACATTCAGAGTAACATAGCCCAGAATTGGCCTAGGTGTATCTTTAGATACCTTTTAAACATTGTCTGGCTTGACTAGAAGGGTTTCCTGAGAATTCTGATCCAAAAGCTGAAGTCATGCTCTTACTACAGAAAGATCTTAAAAATTACAGGGTTTAAACCTTGTTTTCACTTTGCAGTAAATCTATATAGCTTCCTTATAGTCAGTTTAGAAAAAAAGGACAGCATTAATAACTATGACTAATATCTGCAAGGCGCGTTAGAATGTATAAATGTTCCCAATATCCTCATAATTTCCACTAATTCACTGGATAATAGGTAAGGAAATGTTATTTGCAAGTTTTTGTGGTGTCAGATTTTTCAGGGAAATAGCATCAAATACTATTTTGCAAACTAATATAGGGAGTTATGTATTCAGCAACTGCTTTTGCAAGGTACTATGCCAGGAATGAATGAGAGCAATCTGACTTGGTACTTGACCTTAAAGAACTAATAGTCTGGCCAGGAAGCTAAGATGTACCTGTCAGTGACTGTACAAGGTAGACGTGAGAGATAAGGGCAGAAGTTTAACAGAATCTGGAAGTTTCATGGAGGGGATGTTTGAATTGAACTCTTCAAAGGGCCTAGGGTTTGGAAGTCTAAGTGTGTGGGTGATGTGGGGTGGAGGGACAGCTAAACATCAGGGCCAGCATCGTGAAACAGGGACATTTTAAAGTAGCCTGCTAGTTGCTATGAAATTTAAATGTCTGGTGAAATTTAATAAGCCATAACAACTAATGAAATAGCCTGATAGCAGAGACCTCCTCAGAGACAACATTTAGCCCAGGCAAAGGGTATATTTTTATACTAACCTTATGTAGGTAACTGGTGAATTATCCACCAAAGAAATCTACCATTGGTGGCAAGTTGAAGCTAATGAGAAACGAGAGGTGGCTTTAAGTAACATGGCAGTATGTACTTTTGTAAAGGAGGGCCTTCTTGATGATACTAAAATCACAGGATGGGAGATGTTCCTTACAGCACAATTTATATGTAAGAGCAAAATGTTCAAAGTAATCCAGAGGTCTGACTATAGTGAAGTGGCTAAGTTTTGATATAGCTCTATAAGGTAGTACTGTGAAACTTTTTAATGTAAGATGTTAAAAGGTCGTGTGTGTGTGTGTGTGTGTGTGTGTGTGTGTGTGTGGCTGTGGATCAACCCACAGGGCTTCACACATTAGGTAAACACTGCCACTGAGCTTCATCCTTAGTTCTATAACAAAGTTTTTTCTAAAAAGCAAGATACAGTACCTTGCAATATTATATGATTTACACAAGGTCAAATGACTACAAAGATAATGCTGGATTTTGCTTATTATATGTTGAGTTCTTTGTGTGCTAAGTGCTAGGAATATAGGGGAGAATGGAAATAGAATTGGTATTTTTATGGAGTTTGCAGGATGGTAATAGCGGTGTTTGTGAATCAGTCACACAAACAAATGCGTGACTGTTCAGTTTCATGAATGCTGTTGAGTAAAGAAAAAAGAGTGCAATGCTGAGTAGTAGATTGTGGTGGGGCCATGAGACACAGTGAAGGTTTTCCTGAGGCAGTGATGTTTGAGATGAGATTTGCAGGGAGAATAGGTACCAGCTAGATGAAAAGAGGGAACAGAGTATTGTATTGCTGGCAGGGGAAATAGAACGTGCCAAGCCCCAGTGGCCGGAGAGTGCATGGAACCGAAAGATAGCCATTATGGCTGGGCACATGTAGAAGTGAGCGATAGGAGAGTGCAAGGTGAGAAGCTTCACCATTTATAGTTATATTCTGACCATATATTACTTTTATAGTAAGCAGTCATTTAAAACGTAAGATACTGTATATGCAGGTGGCCATTATTTTAAATCTGTTGTAGATGTAATCATGCATAGGTGTGCAGCCAGGAAATAAGATTCATTTGGATTTGGAATCAGAGGAGGACTAATGCATTATTTATTAGCTAGAGTTATAGAGCACTTTCCCTCTAGTAAGCTTAGACAATTATTAGAGCGGGGAAGTTTATAGCTCAGTACTAAAAACAGTCAAAGCACCAGGCCCTGCAGACAGTGTAACCCTTCGTGCTTGCACTCATTTCAAACATTAAATTTGTTATGAAGAAGTTGCAATAATTAGGCAGTTCTTGGAGGTGTGTTTTTAGGGTTCATAATCATTATTTTACTTTATTTTTTGGTGCTGGAGATAGAACCAAAGGCCTCATGTATGCCAGGCAAATGCTCTACCACTGAGCTGCACTTCCAGTCCCATCATAATTATTTTAAATAAACTTCCTACAGAGAACAAAGTGTAAGTGCTGAGAAGATTTTATTATTTTTATTTGTAGGTTACAGGAGGTTCCAGTGGCATTGGAAAGTGCATTGCTATTGAATGCTATAAACAAGGGGCGTTTATTACTCTGGTGGCACGAAATGAGGTAAGTCTTCCAGATTCATTGTTAACTAATGTACTTGTTCAACTTTATATTAGTCAAAGAGGCTGGGCTAAATGTGCTGGTTTGCACTTGTGCTGGAAAGTGCTTACTCCCTGATTTGGGATGTGATCTGTCAACTGCTATTTCTTTCTTGTGTTTAGGCCAAAGACTTCTCTGTTGATCTGCTTATTGAATATGTATTTATTGCTATCAACCTATCAGACCATATCGTCAGAGACATTGCAGATCTTGAGATAGGAGAGGGTGAGATGTGGTTAAATAACACACCCGGCCATGGAAAGCCAGATGTGTTGGCAGCAGCAATTCTGAAGCTGCTTCTCAAAGTGTTTCTTATTCTGGAGCTGATATCTTAAGGTGTGTAGGTGTGTGCCTACACTTTCTCTTTGCAATTTGCTTGTAATATGTTATACATGTCTAGTGAAATCTGTGTGCCACAGGGGCATCCCATCCCTCCTGACATGTTTAGTGAAACTTATTGTTCCATATAAAGTCCATGCAGAGTCTGTTTTTCCCTTTTGGCTGGGGCTGTATTTCTTGCCAGAGTTGTTTTAAGAGCACAAAGCTATTGCACTGTGTGCTCATGAACAGTCAGGAAGTACTCTTGCTCCATGTGAGGACCGGGGATTGTGCCCATGGCTGTTGTCCACTGCTGTTGCATAGAGTGCATAGTGTTGCAGGCACATCTATTGAAAGAAGTAAAGGAAGGATTGATAGAATGAGTGCCAGTATGGCATCATGGTGTGGGAATTAACTCCTTAGTAAGGTGTGGTTAGCTGAACAGAGACCACTGAGAAGGGCAGGCCAGCGTGAGCCTCAGGGGGAAAATACTGGACATCTTACGAAATCACTCCTGACATGGGATCACACGTGCTTTCAGCCTTGTAAAGCATAGCATGGCAGTCTGGTTGCTTTTTTTGTAGTACCCGGGATCAAACTTGGGTCCTTGAGCTTGCGGGGGCAGGCGGCCAAACCACTGAGCTAAATCCCCGGCCCAGCTTTTGTTTCATATCACTACTCAACAATGTCAGATCAAAAAGTGTATTAGAATTGATAAGAGAACCATCATATTTCATAGTGTTAATTGGAATTTTCAGGTTCACTTATTTTTCTGTTATCTTTTTCTGAAATGAATTTAAAAACTTGCTGTCACCTGTCACTTATTCACAGCTTAATATATTTTACTTCTTTCATGAACTGTGGCCCATAGCTATTCAGTGTAGATGCTGTTTTGTATGTTTGTAGAATTTAATAAACATTTATGTAAACAATTGTCTTTTTTCTCTCCTTTTCAGTAAATAAGCAGACGGACATAAGACAATCACCAGATCTAACTGTTCTGTGTTGTTTTCAGGAGAAGCTGCTTCAGGCAAAGAAAGAAATTGAAAAATACTCCATTAATGACAAACAGGTAAAGCGCTGTCTTCAGGATGCATTTTTCTGTACTAATCAGCACTGTAGTAGGAAGAAAAAAAAGGGTCAGTTTAACTGCAGAGGTCATTGAAAGCACATATGGTTTTTCTGATTAAAATACATAGTAGACTTTTTTAAAAGGTGAAATTGTTTGAAATGGCAAGGAATTCGGGTTATTAGCAAAACAATGTATAGTCTGACACACATCCACCATTGGTCAGAAGCTCTGTTACTAGAAAATGATTTTACTTCCATTATTTATTTAAGTAAAATTTGCACAGTGCTTAAGAAGAAAGGATATTTAAGAATTTTTTGTGGTTGTAGAATTTTTTATTGACTAAAAGGCATATAACGTATTTTTTAGTATGAAGCATAGTGACAAATTAACAACTACACAACCATCACCCCAATTAAAGAAGTACAATTTAGTTACAAGGGGCCGGGGATTTAGCTCAGCAGCTCTGCACCTGCCTCAAAAGCACGAGGTCCTGAGTTCAATCTCTGGTACCAAAAAATAAAAGAATTTAGTTACAAAACAGTGTTCATTTCATTGTCAGGTTTTTATTTTCAAAAATGCATTAATGAATAGAGACACCAAGAAATTGTCTAGAATGGTGTTCATTTAGCTGTTTTAATGTCTTGGAGAGTGAGAACATTTTTCTTTTTCTTTTTTGGTACCCGGGATCAGTTGAACTCAGGACCCTGTGCTTGCAAGGCAGGCGCAGTGCCCCTGGGCTAAATCCCTGGCCCTTTCTTTTTCTTTTTTGACTTGTGCCATTATAACATGTTTCTAAGTAGAAGAAATTAAGAATGTGAGGTGATGGATACATTAATTAGCTTGAGTATAGTAATCATTTCACAGTATATCTCAAAACATGATGTCATATACCTTAAATATGTATGATTTTATTTTTCTCTTCTCAATTAAAAAAAGAATTAAATCCACCTGGCTTGCAAACGCAAGGTCCTGAGTTCGATCCCCAGTACCAAAAAAAAAAAAGAATTAAATGAGATAATCCATTTTTAAAAGTATACACTGGGATGTATGTACACACTGGGATAGTATGGCTACTATGGTATAAAATATGTTAAAATATCTTGTTAATATGTTTTATATTGAACACATGTTAAAATGAGAGTATCTTAATATATTGGGTTGAATATAACCTATTATAAAATTTTCATTAAAAAATTGAATTTGCCAGAGCTTGTGAAGTTTCTGAAGCTGTTCCACACCAGCCTCTCATTCCTAGAAACCACCCTAACCTGATTTGGTTTTTTTTGGTACGGGGGATGGAACTCAGGACCTTGTGCTTGCAAGGCAGGCATGGTGCCACTGAGCTAAATCCTGGGTCCCTAACCTGATTTTTTAATTGAATCCTTCTTTGTTCTTCTTCAAAATTTTACTATCTGTGGTAAAATATGAGTGACTCTAAACAGTAACTGTTTCAGTTGTTTCTTTTTGAACTTGATGGCATTATTTACTTTTTAAATCAGCTTTATTGAGATGTAATTCACATACCATGCAATTGTCCTGTTTGTTTGTTTGTTTGTTTATTTATTTATTTATTTATTTTTTGGTGCTGGGGATTGAACCCTGGGCCTTGTGCATGTTGGCAAGCACTCTACCAGTGAGCCACATTCTTAGCCCTTTTTGATTTTGAGACAGAGTTTTAGTAAGTTGCCCAATCTGCATGTGAACTCACAGTCCCCCTGCCTCAACCTCCCTAGCAGGGCATACAGATGTGCACCATCATACCCAGCACAATTGCCCTATTTAAAGTATGCAATCCATTATTTTAAAATATAATCACAAAGTTAGGCACTCATCACCGCAATTAATTTTAGAATGTTTCTGTCACACCATAAGAATCTCTCTGCATTAACAGTCACTTCCCATGCTTGTGGCAGTCCCTCCCAGCCCTAGGCAAGCACTGCTCTACTTCTAGCTCGTTAGATTTATCCAACATCTTTACACAATCTTGTGCAACTCTATTTATTCCTTTGATATTATTTTAAAAATCCATCTGTGTTGCTACACAAAGTAGTTTACTTAACTTTCTGTTGTACAGAATTCAATTATATGGCTAAACTACCTTTAGTTCATCAGTTCTACTGTTGGTGGATATTGAAGTTGTATCCAGGTTCTTTTGTTGTTGTTAGTTAGTTTTGGGTTTTGCTGCTACAGAAGGTTTTTCACTGTGTCTCTGTGCACACGTATAAGAGTGGTACTTACCTGGAAATGGAATTGGTGAGTTATACTACATGTGGACATACGTCTTCAGCCTTCCCAGCCCAGTGATACGCCCTCTGGAGTGATGGCGATTTATATTACTCCACATCCTTGTAACACTTTATTAGCAGACGTTATAAATTTTTTGCCTTTCTAGTAGGTTTTAAGTAGTATATCATTGTGGGGTTTTTTTGTGTGTTTTTTTGTACTTGGGATTGAAGTCAGGACCTTGTGCTTATGAGGCAGGTGTGGTGCCACTGAGCTAAATCCTGGGCCCTCATTGTGGTTTTAACTGCCCCCCGCCCCAAGTATATTAGAGATCTTTCCAAGTCAATAAAAATAAATCTGTCTCATTTACTCCAGAATTTGCTTAATCAATTTCCCATTGAGATGTTCCCATTCTCTTTTTTTTCTTCTGCTACTGCAGTCTGTGATGTAAGTAAAATTCCTTGTCCATATCCCCTTGCACACATATGTGAATTTCTCTAAACTGTAGCCTCTGGCTCTACTCACTTTTCTGCAGCCCACGGACATCAGAAGAACCCCAGCTCTGCAGATCGCTGCATTTTTCCCACGTTCGCATAACTTGTGATAGAGGAAGAGAGTGGTATAAAATTACGCAGCTTGAGCGCTGTGGCTGAAGGCCAGCACTGTCTCTGCTCTGGGCTTCATGATGATTCCCACCTCTCTTCAACTATCCAAGGATTTTAGGTGATGTGGAAAATGCTTGTCATCCGTACAGCAAGAACAGGTCCATAATCAGGGCTGGGTCGGCCGGAGTGAGCTTGATCCTTTTGCCTAGCCTCAGCTTGTTGCTATGCACTGAGGGGAGGCAGTGCCCTGGGACCTTGCTGTCATGATAATTTTTTAACTTTTTTTTTTTTTTGGAAATTTTACTTCTCTGGTATAGATTGTATTTATAGTCAACGATCTAATACTTTGTGAAAAGCACGAAAGGGCATGTTTCATAATTAATTCTTTAATTCCTACCCCATTAAACAAAAGTTTTCTGTGTGATGGTTTTGGAATAAAATCCACTGTGAGTATTTTACAGCCTAGTGCAGGCCCTCTAGTCTAGAATATTTTAGGTTATGTTTGTGAAGGAGGCTGTTTTCTTGTCTTAGAAGTTTAAATAACTTGACTAGGGTTCCTTTTTGCATTAAGTGAAATTTCCCATCTCCGTCTGTTTTTTGTTTTTTGTTTGCTACTGGGGATCGAACTCGGGACCTTGTGCTTGCGAGACAGGCGAAGTGCCACTGAGCTAAATCCCTGGCCCCCATCTCCATCTTTTGTATTAATTCCTAAGGCAATGAACTTCTCTCTCTCTCTCTTCTCCTCCCTCCCTCCTGTCCTTCCCCCTTCCCTCCTTTTCTCATTCTCTCCCCCCTCCCTCTCTGTAATGGATTCTATGTTCCCCAGACTGGCCATAAATTCCTGGGTGCAAGCAATCCTGTCTCAGCCTCCCAAGTAACTATAGGCATGCACCACTACATTTGGCTTATTTTTATTCAGCCCTTTGCTGAGGCTTTTTAGAGCTGGAAAGAATGCTGGTAATCACAGGCTTTCTGATACCTTTATTTATAGGGGTGGCCACTGTACCCTTCCTAGGTCCCACTCAGCTAGTGAGTGCGGAGACAGGTTTGGGGCCCAGGTGTGATGGTCGGCTTTCCATTACTGTGACAAAACACCTGAGGTACCAGCTTGTAAGGAGGAAAGGTTTATTTTGGCTCAAGGTTTCGGGGGTTTTAGTCCATGGCCTCTTGGCCCTGTTGCTTTTGGGCCTGTGGTGAGGCAGCACATGAGAGTGAGGAACATGTGATGGAACAAAGCTGCTCTTTCATGGTGACTGAGAAGCAAAGGGAGAGGCAGGAAGGAGCTGGGGGCAGATATGCCTTTCAAGGCCACATCCCCCAAAGGACCTAGCTTCTTTCCTCTAGGCCCACCTCCTAAAGGTTCTGCCAGGCTGGGAACCAAGCCCTTAGCATATGGGCCTTTGGGAGACACTTATCCTAGTCATAGTCGTGGGGTTCCCAAATATCTGCCTGTTCTTTCAAGGACCCACTCCACACTCCCCTTCAGCATAGCCCCTCAGAGTGCATATTGTTTCTTGTGGATGTGCTTCTTGGCAGTTGCATTGTCAGCAGATTGCAAACACTACAGTCTGTGCACTCAAAATTTGTCTTCTTAATTGGATGTGATCATGCATGCCTGTGAACCCCGCAGCTTGGGAGGCTGAGGCAGGAGGATCACAAGGTCTAGTCCAGCCTGGGGAATAAAAAATTTTAAAAAGGCTGAGAAAGTATGTCAAGGGTAGAGTCTCCTGGGTTTCATTCTGAGTACTGAAAAAAAAAAACTTGGCCTTCATTGAAAAGAATTACTTTTAATTTTTTTTTTTTTTTTGGTTCCGGGGGTTGAACTCGGGTCCTTACACTTGCAAGGCAGGTGGCGGAACCACTGAGCTAAATCTCTGGCCCTAATTTTTAAAAAATCTTTAAAAAATAGTTTCAACACATGCATACTTCAGATCATTTTTTTTCCTTTTTAACAGGTGGTGCTTTGTATCTCAGTTGATGTATCTGAAGACTATAACCAAGTAGAGAATGTCATAAAACAAGTAAGAGATTGGGCTGTTTGGATTTTTTTTTTTTTTTGCAGTACCAGGGATTATTGAACTCAGGACCTTGTGCTTGTGAGGCAGGCACGGTGCCACTGAGCTAAATCCCCGGCTCTGGGCTGATTGGATTTAATGCACTTGACTTGATTTATTCTTACCATTTTTATCTTGTGGCTTGGAATTGATCGATCTTCTCCATAGGTTTAGTGGTTTGTAGGTTTTATTTATCAACCTGAATTTACTGCTAGGTGATTCTTCTGTCTTCTAATACCTGCTTTGATCCATTTTTCTAGGCACAGGAGAAACTGGGTCCAGTGGACATGCTTGTCAACTGTGCAGGGATGGCACTGGCAGGGAAATTTGAAGATCTTGAAGTTAGTACTTTTGAAGTAAGTAAAAATGTTTGCTCACTGGGGTAGCCCATATATGAAAAGTAGAACAAGTTTTGAATAAAGACTTTTAAGAATGAGATAGATGGATGCATTTGAGTGTTCACAGAAGCATGAGAAGACAAGAGGAAGACTGATGGGTCTGTGTTCCCAGGGCCGCAACCATCCAGCCTTAAGCACATACACAGATTTCTGAACCTCCACTATAAAATGAAAACGAAACAGTTAATGTGGCACAGATCACGACAGCAATTCACTGAGGCCCCCTCTTCAAGACAGCACTTTGTAAACCCAGAGAAGTTGGATGTTCACGTCAAGTATCATAGTATTATTTTTTTTTGTAGTACTTGCTAGGCAAGTACTCTACCACTGTGCTAAATCCCTGTTAAGCCCTTGTAAAATTTCATTTTGAGCCAGAGTCTCATTAAATTGCCAAGGCTGGCCTCAAACTTGCAATCTTCCTGCTTCAGCTTCCTGAGTAGCTAGGATTATAGCCATGAGCCACCACACCTGGAATGGATCAGTATTATCAACAGTGAGAGATCAAAAAAGTTGAAGAACATCCTTGCTAGAGCTCTTAATCAGGATAAGAAGATGGTGTATCTTATTTATATTTTAAACACTTTTGCCAAGGAATGAACCTCTTAGTAATTTATCTCAACACCAAAGAAATGGACATTAGACCGGAAATCTTTTTTAAGTGCAAAATATTTTATAGTTGGCAGTGCCTCAATCCATCCATCTCTTAGTGTTCTATTAGGCTTTTATCGAGGTAATACATTTTGAATGCTTGATTCTGAATTTGAATCACGTTCCCCTTTTATAGAAAAGGAGACCTCTGAGCCAGTATTGCAGCTGTCTTGCTTCTGTTGAGTCATGGGAAAGCACCATAGGCTTTGGGATTTACTTAAGGTGAGCCAGAGAGTCAGGGTGTAGGTTGAAGCAGAGTGGTGTGATGTGAATGTCCTAAGGCTTCTTTATCAAGTCAGCAAAATAGAGAGTTGTCTAGACTTGTATACCTTCATCTGGAAGGAATGGAAAGGAGATTGGAAGATTATGTCAACAGCTTTATAAAGAATCAATTTGGGGAAATAGTTGTTGGTGTCTAGGCATGAAATGATAAAAGATTTGGGAGGTAGTCAGGAAAAGAGGAGTAGGTGTGCATGTGTGTGTGTGTGTTGTAAAGTATGTGTGTGCATGTGCATGCATGTGTAAGAGGATGTGCAATAAAAATCTGTAGGCTCAGTTTGGCTGAACAGGGCGCAAAGAATGGGTTGAAGAATGAGTAGTTTGCATGGCTGAGATAAATAAATGCCGAGTTCAGAAGCTAGGACCCCAGAAAGTGGGGTGTGTGGGTCTCGGGCAGCAGGAGTCGGGGTTGTATAACACTGTATGCCTCGTGGCAGTTCCAAGGCAATGAAGTGAATGTTCTGTGGAGGTGTATTGTTGTAAAGAAGTATAGAAGAAACTTAAGTTTATAATACCAGGATCATGTTTGTAGGTATAAATAACAAGAAAAAATGTGAAGCACATGTTATTCTTCATTGGTGGAGGAATTGGGCAGGTCCTGTGTGCCTCCACTGGGAAATAGATCTTGGAAAGTTATACCTGGTTTCTTCTGGACTCTACTCATGTTATCATTTCTCTTTGCTGATCTGTAATAAATCTTAGTTGTGACTGAGAGTTTATGCTGAGGTCTTTGAGACCTAGTAAATCTACTAAGCCTGGGGAACTTGAGCTTATTTCTCTTAATTTTCTTAAGTGTTTCTACATGGGTTTTTTTTGGTGCTGTGTCCATCTTAAGCCCATAGATATTGAGTGTTATTTAACTTTTCGTTTGGCCTCTCATTGTCTCTGCTTCTGAGGCCGGTGCCTCTGTTATTTGAGTTAGAGGCTTTGCTTAGATGTATGGCAAGCCATGGTTGTATTTGTACTTTAAGAATTAGGTACTAAAGAGCTGGTTGGAGTTCTTTGCAGTGGGTAGAGCGTTTGGTTATGGGCCTTCTGTAGGGTGACGGTTTGGGACATATCTTTGGGGGAACCTCAGTGTCAGTATCTGTAGGTCTTTTCTCTTATGCTGATCAGAACCCCTGGAGAGGAGTCCTAGACTCCTACCTAGAAAATATGTGCCTGACAGCAGTGTCAGAAGAGTGAAATTGGCAAAGAGTGTTCCATGTCTAGATAGTTTTTCATTAACCCTTTTGCTTTGTCTAGACTGATCCTTCCTCTAAACTAAACTTCTGTCTGCTGCCAAACTGGAGAGGGACCATATCTATTTTGTGAAGAAAGAAAAGGGCTTTACAATATTACTGCTTTGGTGTTTTGTTTTATTTTGTTTTTGGTCATTGTTCTACATTAGTTTTTTAAAGCAAGGTGAAATTCATAGAAAATTAGCCATTTTATTTTTATGTATTTATGTATTTGATTTTTTGTATGTTGCTTATTTTGAGACAAGGTCTTACTAAGTTGCCCAAGCTGGTAATCCTCCTGTATCAGTATCCTAAGTGCTGGGATTATAAGCAGGTGCCACCACACCCAGAAAAGCTAGCCATTTTAAAGTGAACTGCTCAAAGGCATTTAGCACATTGACAGTGTTGTATAATTACCACTTCTATCTAATTCCAAAACACTTTCATCACTCCAAAAGGAAAAGGCACACCTGTTAAGCAGTTGCTCCCGTTCTTTCCTGGACTGCTATCCTAGTCCCTGACTACCACTGTTCTTTATCCCATCTCTTTGGATATTACCTATATATGAAATCATAAGGTATGTGCCCTTTTCTGTCTAGGTTCCCTTATTTAGCATAAAGTTTTTGATGGTCATTCCTGTTGTACACAGATTGGTACCATTTTCTTTTTTTTTTTTTTTTTTGGTACCTGGGATCAAAGTCAGGACCTTGCACTTGCCACTGAGCTTAATCCCCGGCCCCCTTTTCATAGGTTAATAACACTAATTGTGTGGACATCTTACATTGTGTTTATCCATTCACTGTGAATGGACATTAGGCTGTCTCTACCTAGCTGCCTTGTACACAAACTTTTAGTGCAAACTCCTGTCTTTTAGCCCCATGCCTGCCACCCCCACCTCACCCCAGAGATGCTTGGTGCTGTTTGAACCTTTTGTGGTACAGTCTTGCTTTTTAGATTCTCTCTTCTCACTTAACATTAAGTTTTCTGTGTTCTCCCAAGTAAGCTCTCACATGTCATTCTGTTTTCCAACTTATTGCATGTTGTTGCTATTATTTTCATTTCTGTTTTCTTTATTCTTGTGGATTTGTCCTTTGCAAGAAACTTCTTAACTGAGCTTTTAATGGAGTCTCTAAACAGAGGTGAGGTAGACACTGTGTGCCATCTTTTCTACAGATACTTTCCTGTTTGGACATTTTTCTTGCCAAAACAGTGTAAGGATATTAAAATATATTTTGGGAAAAAGTGGGAATACCGATGTTAGGTAAATAGTGATGACCCAATAAAAGAGCACAGCAAGCTTGAATTTGGGTTTTGAGCAAGAACATTTGGAGTAACTCTAAAGGAGAGTCTGAGTAGTTTGTTGAGCTGTTTTTTCATGGATAGGGTTAGTGGAGTAGGAGAGCGTGGAATGGATGAAGTGAGACTAGGTGAGTAACAATGGTTATGTGGCTACAGATGACGTAGCAGTGGCTCATGTTTTGTTGTTCGAGGTGCGCTGTGACCTGGTATCGCAGGTGGGGAGGCAACAGGATGTGGGAGTATCGTTTTGGGGGTTCAGGTGTCTGGGAATGGCCACTCCAGGAACTCAGGCAGCAGAGGGCAATTGGGGGTCAGACCTATCAACCAACATCTTAAATAATCACAATATTCTATATTTTCTGGATTCTGTACTTATAGTGGCCTTTTATTTAATAGTTATAACAGTTATAGTCACCGTCTAAATATCACCTGCCCTCTACTTTTTAAAAACTTATAAATATTTCGCTGGTGTTCCTGGTGATCATTTTCAAAAGTTACCTATTTTTTATGGATTTAACACATCATAACTTACTTAGATCCCCAACTGGAGTGTTGAGTGTTACATTATGATAGAGCTAATTTTTTTTTTGGACCGGGGATCGAACTCAGGACCTTGCACTTTTGAGGCAGGTGCAGACACCACTGAGACAAATCCCTGGCCCTAGAGCTGATTTTTTTATAAGACTTTTAATATAGAAACATTTAAATGCAGGCATTCTTAGGTTCTCAAGTACAAAAATTTAAGTTTTTAATGTTTTAAGAGTTGGTAAAAACATATACTATTAGTGCATTTGTAAGGTCTTACAATAATACAGTGGTACCTTGGTTCACAAGCACTTTTGTTTGTGAACAGTTTGGTTTGCAAGCATAAGCATTGGGCAAAATTTTGTTTTTGTTTGCCAACTGCATTGAGTGATGAACAGGACTGTGGGTAGAACACGAACGTGGCCATCTTTTCCAGAATTGCGGAAGAAATTAAGTTTGTGAACTGAGGTACCACTGTATAAGAGCCAAATGTACCAGGTGCTTCATGTGGTATGCTAGCATTTAACTTGTATTTTTTCTTTTGCTCCCTGTAGTAATATCCTGAGGTAATTCCACAATTAACTTTGTTTTCAGCTGAGAAAATGAGTAGTGTCTGACTCTTTGATTCATCATCCAATAGGTAGTATGTGGCAGAACCAAAGCTTAGAACCAAGGGGCTGGAAATATTTGGAAGCTCTTTCCTAAAATTGTCTTTCAAAAGGATTACAGGCAACATACAGTGCTCCGTTGTTTTTTTTTTGGTACCAAGAATCGAACTCAGTACCTCATGCTTGCCAGGCAGGCTCTGTGCTTCTGAGCTACATCCCCTGCCCATGCAGTGCTCTTTTTATAAGTAGAAAACTTATTTTGAGCACTTTTCAGCATGGATGTTTCTGCTGACATAGTGAGAATATAAGACTACTGGATTCAAATAGGCTTCAGATGGTAGGTCTTGAGCATCATGTCTTATTATAAGTGGCATTATTACTCATTCATTCATTCAGCAAATCTGTTGAGTGCTCTAATCACTTGAACTTCTGTTGAAGAATTTGAATCTGAAAAAGACAAAATTCTCATTGAGAGGTCCTTAAGCTTTTGATCTTGTTTCTACGTCATGTGGTTTCTTTGTTCCCTGCAGAAATTAATGAACATCAATTACCTGGGCAGTGTGTACCCTAGCCGAGCAGTGATCACCACCATGATGGAGCGCCGGGTGGGCAGGATCGTGTTTGTGTCCTCCCAGGCGGGACAGCTGGGATTATTTGGATATACAGCCTACTCTTCGTCAAAGTTTGCCATAAGGGGATTGGCAGAAGCTTTGCAGATGGAGGTAAAAGTTGTATTCATGTTTGTGTTTTTTCTTTTCAACTCAGCAATATGTGAGCTTTTTAGTTTTCTAACTTCTTTACCTGTTACTGCATTAAATTAGATGTGCAGATTTGACATTAGTGAACGAGAATTGGCTAAGCCCAAGTTTTGGATTTAACAATTCCTGTTGCATGAGAATTATACTTACGACAAAACAGCACGGTTATGGAGTTTTGTCTAATTAATACCCGAAGTCTTAGTAATATCGTCATGATATTGTTGGTCTGTGTGAGTATATGTAAGGTTAATGAGATATTTTATTTTGTAGGGATCTTCCTGTAACAAAAAGACCTGCCCTTATGACTGAATAATAAAATTATTAAATATTTAAAGGAGCTAGAAAAGGATATTAACTTTTAGAGAAGCCATTTAACTTGTTTTCAGTTTGCTCGTCTGTACAGTGAGAGAACTAGAATAAAAACATCATTTTGCTCTCGTAATACTTATGTTTTTGTGTATTGAAGAATCATTTAAGAAAGTGAGTGTTTTTTATTTTCACAGTAAATAGAACATTTTGAGGATGAAGGGTGTAGTTAGGATTATCTTGAAAATAAATGTCATGCTGTAAACACCCTCACACCTCAGCTGTGTGAAGTAGATTTCTGCAGTGTTGTCACATGGGTATGCTTAGAGAGCATCATGTATATCTCTCTCCATAATTGAATGAACAAGGCAGGGTAAAATTCATTCTATTGCAATATACAATAGCATATAATAATTGAAATATAATACGTCATGATGTTAAAAGTCCAGAGGAGAATTTGTTGTGAGCAGCCCTCTTATGGTGTATAGAATTCTTGGTTAATTGTTCAGATTAGGAGTCAGCAAATTAAAATAATTTTTTTTAATAAATGGCCAGATAGTAAATATTTTAACCTTTTGAGGACCAGATAGTGTGTGTTACATCTACTGAAGTCTGTTGTGGTAGCAGGAAAGCAGCCATAGTAGATTATACATAAATAAACAGGTATGACTGTTCCAATAAAACTTTATTTATAAAAGTTGGCAGAGGGCCGGATTTAGCTCACAGGCTATAGTTTGCTGACCTGTGTTTATAGAAGATCCCAGAACAGACCTTGGTGGTGTGTGACAGAGCCTCACACTGCCTTGGTATTGGGCAAATTTCGGGGCAGTGATTGTGACCTAATGGCCCACTTAAATATTGACAAACTGTGCTGTTCTCCTACAAAGGGAAGCAGTCACAGAGTTCATTGTTAGCACCTGGCTTAATACTTTTAATAAAAGATCATTATAACATACTTGACCAACAGGACACTCGTAACAGTGAAATTTCAAACAATATACTGCTTATTCATTTTGCAGTTGTTACTTCCTGTTATGGCTTGTGTCTAGATGTCCCCCTAAAGCCTCATGCAGTCATAGGTGGGTCTTTTTCAGAAGTGGCTGCATCTAGAGTGTGTGAAGCTGGGATTGATTCATGGTGCAATGCTAGGATCAAGGACACTAGGATTAAGGGTGTGAGTGCTACCTGCCCTAAGTAGCCTGGATAAGATATGAGGCATAGAAAGAGCTGTGGTCATCACCTGCTTGCTTTGCTACCTTCTACCTGCTATGAACTGTTTCTCCTCTGTGATCCACCCTGCCTTGGAGCCAGCCAATTATGGACTGAAACCTTTACAAACTGAGCTAAATGAACCTTTTCTCCTTTAACTTTTTGAGTATTTTGTCTCAGCAATGAGAAAAGTAACTAAGATACTCCCTCTGTGAGAAGCCAGCTTTTATTAATCATGATCTTGTGAATTATGTGAGGCAGCTGTCATTATATTATCATATGGAAAAAAACTGACCTGGTTAAAGTCTTACAGTTCCTTAATGACAGAAGTGATGAGGGCCAAGCCTTTAACGCTAACCAACCCTTTGCTACAAGTTGTAGTTTTGTTTTTGGGGTGTGTTTTTTGGTACCAGGGATAGAACTCAGGTCCTTGCGCTTGTGGGGCAGGTGGCAGAACCACTGAGCTAAATCCCTGGCCCTGCAAGTTGTAGTTTTGCAGCAGAGGATTTGTCTGTAACTCAGGTCAGAAGTTGCCTCTTTCACTAGCTACCTACATCAGTCCTTCACTGTGGTCTTGAATCCATATAGGTGAAAGAGATGTTTTAAAGATGAAAAAATCTGCCCATTAGAGCCAGAGCTGCATCATGACTCATTAATTTAGAGCAAAGTGTAAAATATGGGTGACCTGGATTCATTTCAGGTAAAAAAGAGATGCTAATTCAGAAGAGGAGAAAGAAAATGAGTTGCTAGTACCGTGTCCGCTCAGCTTCGGGAACAAGTGTGATTCACATGGTGCAGGTAGCTGGCCTAGAATCTCAGATCTGCTTGACTTTTATCACTCTTTGGACCCCATTAAAAATGTCCTTATTTAAAGAGAAAATAAATATGTGCCATGAAAAGTAGGCTATTTTATTTGGGGAAAATAATTTTAGTCTTCAAAATCTAGTTTGTTCATAGTAGAACTTATATAAAACCAGTTATTTACCCACAAATCATTAGTTGTGTGTTTCTAAAACCTGAATAATTAATCAGTTCTATGAATGAAACCAATATAATTGCTCAAACCCTAAATTTTTTTATCTCTAGCCATCTCCTTTTTTTATAAGGCCCCCCTCCCCCCAATACTGGGGATTGAACTCAGGCCTTTTCACTGAGCTACATTCCTATTCCAACCCCCTTTTTCTCTGATACCAGGGATTGAACTTGGGACCTTGCACTTGCGAGGCAGGTGGCAGAACCACTGAGCTAAATCCCCAGCCCCTCCCTTTTTATTTTTTATTTTGAGACAGATTCTCACTAAGTTACCCAGGCATGATTCAAACTTGTGATCCTCCTGCCTCAGTTTCCCAGAGCATTGGGTTTACAAGTGTGTGCCATCATGCCTGGCTTATACTTTTGATAATCTTTTTGGGTTAATAAGCTTTCAAATCTTCCTTTTTCCCTCTTTTGCTCCAAACTAAGGCAGGATCCTGGAAATGTTACAGGTACAGTGAGTAATTTTGAAAGAATGCTTGGTTGACATTTAGGGGTAGGGTGAGTCTTTTAGGTACAAATATAACATTAAAATATTTTAAAATTTAATGTTTTTGTAAACAAGAACAAGTGAACCCAAACTACCCTCCTTTCCTTTTTTTGATAAGACTATGAAATTAATAAAGGAAGGTGTAAATATAATTTAGTGTATTCAGATTTTAGCAAATTATACAACCAAGAGTTTTAAGAGAGCAGAAGCTCCATGAAAACAGAGATTGTATCTGTTTTGTTCATACCTATATGGGTCATTCTTAGAATAACATTGGCACATAATAGTTTAGTCGATAGGCATTGTTAAATAAATTAAAAAGTCTGTGTAAGTGATAAGTTACTGTCTTAGTTACTTTTCTCTTTTTGCTGAGACAAAATACCCGACACTAACACCCAGAGTTAAAGGCGGAAAGGTTTATTTAGCTCACAGTTTGTAGAGGTTTCAGTCCATAATCAGCTGGCTCCAAGGCAGAGTGGCACATGGAAGAGGGACATCACAGAGGAGAAATAGCTCATGGCACCCACACGGTAGCAAAAGCAACAAGGGAACCTTAAACATCTTTCTGCCCCCTTTATCTTATCCAGACTACCGAGACTGGGGCAGTGCCAAACCCATCAGTGGACTGATTTAGAGTCACACACCCTTAATCTCAGCATCACACACTGTAGATTCAGCCACCTATGACTGCATGAGGCTTTGGGTTGACATCTAGACCCAAACCATAACACTTCACTATACATTGGAAGCATCTGACCATAGACTGGGAGATTGTAGAGAGGATACCAGCCCAGACTGGATTGGACTGGTTTCCCTCAACCCCAGCATTCTGTGGTCCTGCTCCTGGAAAAAGTGTTCTGAAAAGCTCTGTTTTAACCATTGGCAATTCAGCCATAACCTTGACTTTGAGAAATACTGCTTTGAAACACTGTCATACACTGGCGTAGATATCATGATCCTTACTGTGGGGGAGGGACACAGACATAGAAATGACTCTGGTGGAGCAGCCAGCAGCAGTTTTTACATGGACTGTCTAATTAGCACTTACTGGCTTTTTTTGTGCTGTTTTTCTTTGGTCTGTGTGCAGAGGAGGGCAAGGCGTGGGAAACTAATTTTTTTAAGTCTCTGTCTCAGAAACAAGTGGAAGGAACATTGCTTGCTCATCAGCCTCCTCTGCTGGCCCCCATCCACAGCCATTTATGAGCAGAGCTGTACTGAGAGGCTGAATGATGAGCTCTCTCAGGCCCTGGCTGCACTGGAGCAAAACCAACAGAGGCATCTCCCTTTGCTATTGCGATTCCTAGGATGGCTGGCCAGGACCTTCTGGTCCTTCCTCCTAACCTTTGCGACTCTCCCATGTGGTTTTGGAACTGTGCTTCACTGAGGGAACTTGGCAGAAAAAGACGAGTCCCTGGGAAACTCGAGGCAGTTGTATTATGTGTTGTCAATTTTCAGTCTAAAGTGAATTTACCCTCAAGATTTTCAGTAGCTGACCTTACTATTAGCTGCCTCCACTTCCAAATCTCCTGGATGTTTTCATGGGGCTAAAAAGTGAGCAAATAGCAACCTGGGAGTTGATAATTGTAGGGGCAAGATGAAAGCATGCAGCAGGGCTGCTGCTGAGCGGTCTTTGGGAAAGGTATGTCATGGCTAACCAGTAGAAGAATCCACTGGGCTTCTTGGGGGATGTGGTTATGAGTGAGGGAGTTAAATGTGAAGGCATAGTGTCCAGATAAACAAGTGTCAGAGGAGCAAGATGGAGATTTGGGTTGGATAGAGGGAGGAACTGTAAAGAAAAGCAGGGAAGGAGTTTCTGTAAGTAGTGATTGTGCTTGTTAGCAGAAGAGTTGTTGGGCTGATCTGACTTGGGGATTCCACCCAGGGTAAGAATACTTTTGGCAGGTGCTGTGGGGGAGGAATGGGCTCCTGACCTCTTGATGATGGGCAGGGCCTGGCTATGCAGAACTTCTTGAATAAGACTTCTCCTAGAATAGACGTGGTTTTAGACTTGGGTCTTAGAGGGCCATAAGGGACCACAGCATAGTTTATAGATGAAATTAACATAACAAGAATATCAGAAGCAGCCTGCAGAGTAAAACACATGTGCAGTCTGATGGATAAGGAACAGCACTTGGATGGTGTGCAGTCTGAGAGGCTGAGTGGACTGCTATCCTCAGTGGGCAGCTCCTTGGGCCCCTGCCTGCTCAGCAGGTCAGCTCTTCTGTGGCATAGAGGTCAGGAGAAGCCTTTTGCCTTCTTTTCTAAGTCGACTCCGTGGAGAGGGATTTCCTGTGCAGTTGGTGGCCATTCTCCACTTACAGAATCACCCTGTTGGCCTCACCACCTTCTGAGAATCAGGGCCGCCAAAGCAGATTGGTAGGGTAGGACACAAAATTGTGCCTCCCAAACTGAAATTGCAAACCTTGTGTCCCCAATGCAGGTGAAGCCATATAATGTCTACGTCACAGTGGCCTACCCACCGGACACGGACACCCCTGGGTTTGCCATGGAAAACAAAACAAAGGTCAGCACTTTTCATGTCCATTCTCAGTCTTTAATGTTGTAAAGCCCTTTTCTGATTTTTCTTTCCTTTTTCTCCAGTTTAAGTTATTTGTCAGTCCCTGGTGTTTCCGGGTGTCTGTTGGGGGCCTGAGGACTTCCCTAGGTTCTCTGCATGAATTGTCCTTCTTTCCTTCCTGTCATCCCCAACCCCCTTAACATTTAAATTTTTGTTGAAATCTGTCACAGTGCTTTGTGTACCTCATCATTTGCCCAGCATCAGTTTTATTTTTCCTTATTCCTCCTCCTCTGATCCCTAGAAGCAACCATTTATTCAACCAATGTGTTTTTACTGCCATTACTTTTTTTTTTATGATTTAGAGATTATTTATAGACTTTCTGCTATGGAAGATAAAAGTTTAAGACTCATCTATTCCCCACTCACTGTGTTCTTCCTATGTAATTTCAGGTTAAATCAGATTCAGTGTTTTTATTAATGGAAGTTTATAAATATTATTCATAGCTGAGCCTTTCTATAATGGCATTTCCTTTCTTGTCTCTTTATTTACCTAACTTCGTATTTATCTGTAACTTATTCAATTGCAGGTCAGACAGAACTGACAGTCTCCTTTTAATCCATTTGAACACATTGGGTTTTGTAGTATGTTCATTCCTTTTTACTCAGAGACATTTCTCTGGGCCCTCTGCCTTCCTGGCCCAATCTAGACCTGCTGCTCAGCGGTGCTCTTCACCCTTCTCTTCTCTTGGCATCATACTACATTTTCTCCTTTCCTTTATTGGATCCTGTGTTTTCCAGTTTTGTCATTTATCTGCCCATTTTATCTGTCATTTATCTGGAGTTCAGTAATTTTCTGAGAAAGTGTACTTCAGGGATAGCATTTATTTGGAACCTTCATGTCTAAAAAGGCCTCTATTTTCCCTTTATCTTGTTAGTATATTGTTTTGTTGGGTAGATTTTTACAGGTGTTTCTCCCTCAACTTCTAGCTTCTAGTTTTTGTTGGTAACCCCATGCCAACCCTTTGTATAGGACCTATTTTGGGAAAAGCTTTTTGTCCTTTTTAAACTTTCTTTAATATGTTTCAAGGGCCGGGGATTTAGTCAGTGGTTCCGCCGCCTGCCTCACAAGTGCAAGGTTCCGAGTTCGATCTCCGGTCCCCCCAAAAAATATGTTTCGAGGCAGGGTGTTCTTATTTCATAAGCTAGACATTTAAATGAGCCCTTTTATTCTGTCAACTCATGAATTTCAGTTCTGAAACATTTTATATTACTTTTTTGTTGTTGTTTTTGGTACCAGGGATCGAACTCAGGTCCTTGCGCTTACAAGGCAAGCAACAGAACCACTGAGCTAAATCCCCGTCCCTTATATTACTTTTTTGGTAATTTCTTTCCATTCAGAGTATTTCAAGTATTCTTTCCAGAGGTTCTATTACTCAAGATGTTGAATTTTCTGGTCTCATCTTCTAATTTCCTTCTCTTTTTCTCATTTTCCCTGTCCTTCAACTTTTCAGTTGAAATTTTTATTTCTACTGAAATATATAAAATTTTTCGGCTCTTTTCTCTGAATATTAAAAAATGATAGCTTCATCCCTTCATTCATGGGTTTCATATTTTATTTCTAAAGATATTCATTCTGGGTTTTTGGTCTTAGTTTTGTTATTGTGTTGTTGTTTTAATTTTCTTTCCTTTTTTTTTTTTTTTTTGATGACAGACACTTTTTATTCACTAAGCACCACACATAAGCACTTCACGTATACAATGTCATAGCATCATAGCTCCTCTGGGCCAACCAACAGAAGATTCAGGCGTCATAAATGTCAGATGGTGGCTATTCTTGTTTTATGGTTTTAGGCAAGTAACTGCAGCACAGCAATATAAATACTGATTTTCTAGATTTTGTAACTGCTAAATACAGAGAGTTTTCAGGATTACATTAGATGCTAGTGATAGGCCTACTCCGGTGAATTTTAAAGTCCATATTAGAAGATAATAAATCCTACAGAAGCTTTAGCCTCTGTAACATCACAGGTTAGCAGTTTTACAAATTTATAAACATTAAATTAATAGGAAACTATAAAAATTTTCTAAGAGGCATTAGTTTCGTATAGGCTTCTTCAGTGAATGCTTACATATTCTTCGTCTGGGAAGAATTATGAAGAAGATCCAAGTCTTTTAGAAGAATATTCTGGTTTGGAATTAGCATCACAATTTCTTTCTGCAGACTTCAGAGAAAGCACTGGGAGAGAAAGTATGCTACATCTGTCCGTTTGAAGCATCTCTTTTGCCTTTTCCTCCTCTTCTCTGTCTCATGTGCTAGAATTTCAATTTTGTTATTTAGACTCTGAATATCCCTAGTCACTGACCTGTAGTCAGTACTGTTTTATCTGTTTCTTCCTGCAACAATGCTACACCTTCATTAGCTCTGTCTTGTGCTCTTTCCATCTTCAGGAGACTTGACACATTAGTTAAATATTTCAGCTTTTGGGGAGGGACTTTCAGGGTTTTTACACAGTTGTAGCATCCTTTTCTGCTGGCAGGTGAGATGGTACTGAGTTTGTTCTTTTTCTTAAATATTATTACTCCATATTGCTATTATTACTGCTTCCGTCATAGTTTGCAAATGCTCCCTCATACTCTTTGAAAGAGGTTGCCAGATTTTTCTCTTGTTGGATGCTATCTTTATCTGTTTTAGATGAATATGATTTGTTTGTCCTTCAGAAGAATGTGCTTTGGATGATTTTTACTTTTTATTGTGTTTCTAACCTCTTTTTTGGACAGCTCAGCTTCATCATCAATTTTTCTTTTTGAATTTTAAAAAACTGTTCATACTTTTCCTTGGAACCATTTGCTTTACCAGGCATCTTGAGCTAAATTGTACAATTAAAATGCTTTAAAAAACTGATTCTGTCTCAGTGTCCCAGAGAGCTGGGATTACAGCAGTATGTCACCATGCTTGGATGCAAATTTCTTGCTATTACTGTTAAAGAGAGGTAGGTTCTAGGCCCCTTTGTCTTACATCTTGGCAGATTCTGCAGTTCATACAACTGGTAGAAGTGATTCTGTTCCAGTTTACTAGCCGAAAAACGAAGAGATTGGAAGCTTTAACTTCCTCTTGGTTGGAAGCACTTGTTCTTGGAACCCAGTCCCCACCATACTGGAAAAGCCAGCATGGAAAGGATCGATTGATTGTTCTTTAAATGTGTCTGAGAACTGCACTCAAAGGAATTCATGCCCAAACTTGTTGTTTTAATTTTTTTCTGTGTCCTGTATTATCATTTTCTTCACAGTTTTTTTTTCTCTCTGTTGTTTTACACATTCTGCACATGTCTTGCTTATTCGTATCTGAGTGAGGCACTAAAATGCCAGTTGTAAAGCTCTGACTTCTCGGCTTTCTCCTTCACCAGAGGGTGATCGAGAGGGGGGAGTGGCCATTTCAGTAGAAGGTTCCCTTATGTCAGCATCTGCTCACCTTTTCCCATGGCCCGATCAGTTTCCCTAGTGAGGAATTGTGTGTTCCCTGCCTTTGGGAGGTAAGAGCAGCTGTCTGCGTTGTGGGGTTCAAGCAAGGTAGGAGGTCTGGGGAGCTCACCATTCAGTGCCAACCCCTGCCTAATATTTCTCTTGCCGGGCAGTGCACCTCGTAACTGCTCTGAGTGGTAGCTCATGTCCTAGAATTAAGAGTTTCGGATTAGTAAACAGCTGACGTTCTGTCCTTGGGAATCAATCAGAATTACTCATTTAACTGAGGGTAATTTTAGTGTTAGATTCTCTTTTTTCTTTTTTATAGTAATATTTAGTATGAGCCTCCATACCTCATATTTGGCACTTATATTCCATAGATTGTATATTTTCAAATTTAAAAAAAAAAGGATGTTGAAGATTTAGAAACTTTTTTTCCTATTTTTTCTTTGACACTGCCTTTAAAAAAAATTACTACTGTTTTAAAGAAGTAAATTTAAGTCAAACATCCTGCCTTAAGGATAGGCAGACTTGTAGCATTTGGTATACAGTCTTAGTTTAAGCCAAAGCTGCCAAAGGGTGGTGATTTCCATGTTATTTTTTTTTAATCTCCAGTAAAATTCTGGCAAACTTTTTCTGGTAAAGAAAATCCTGTGTTGATCCGTGGGCCCATTAGGGGGCGACATAGTCCTTTTTAATTTCATGCGCATCTTGCTTGGCCATTCCAACCTGGTTGTCTGGGAGAATGAATAGTGGCTCCATCAAAGGGGCCTTTCTGTTTCCTCAAGTTCATCAAGAAATACTTGACTTTTATGAAAGACTTTGCTTTTCTATTTTAAGAAAATATTGTTTTTTGTTTTTGCCAGTACTAGGGATTGAACTCAAGACCTCATGTATGCTAGGCAGGCACTCTGTCACTGGGCTATATCCCCACCCTTTAAAAAAAAATTTATTTTGAGACAGGGTCTCAATAAGGTTCCCAGGTTGGCCTGAAGCTTGCGCTGTTCCTACCTCAGCTTCTTAAGTAGCTAGGATTTCAGGCATGTACCACCATGCCTATCTCTAGTCTGGTTTTATTTTGATTTTCCCAGTCTATGTGTAAATAAAATTTACAGTGTCCTGTAGTTTAAGGTTTTGGTTTGAAAGTGCCCTTTAAAGAACTTTAAGCACAAGTGTACAAGGGGCCACAAGAAGTTCAGAAGAAGTTTTTCAGTTAAAATTTAAATGGAGAAGTAGCTATGATATATATTAAGGCAGCAATGTTCAAAGAAGAGAAAGATTATTACAAATCAAGAATTCAGAAAGGCATGTTGAAATAGGTGAGAGTTGAAATAGACCTTTGAACACCTGTTAAAGAACAAAAGGCCAAGATCTGGAGTTGAGTCCAGCCCTATAATTTGGATGCACCAAACTACAGGTCATTCAGGGATGTCTCCTGAGGGGCTCTTCTTTTAGTGTCCTGTCCATGCTGCCCATGCAGTCTTTTAAGAAATCACTGCAGTTATTGAACAGCGGTTGGTTTGAAACCATCCCTGCCTGGCACCTCACCTCTGTCCCCAGGCATCAGTCCTCTGCTCCTGGGAGTATGGTGAGGATAGAGGTGCTGTCCTGGGAACAGAGTTGCCTCCACACCATTAGCGATGAGGAGTCTTAAGAGGATCCTTCCTGAACTGGTACCCAGTGACACATTCTCACTCCAGCTTTGATGATCTTCATTGGAGCCGAGATCACACATGTTCTACAGAGAACAGCAAGAGATTCCTCATCTTGCTTCAGCTACTGGGCTGAATGTTCCTCAGTCACCAGCTAGACAGAAGATGACCATGGACCTAAGTCTAAAAATAGGAATATGTTTGAAGTAGAAATTTGGAATTATTTATAACTCAGGAGGAGTAACTTTTAATGTAATGGGCAATGATGACATTGATATGTACATTGTTTTCCACTTTAGCCTTTGGAGACTCGACTTATTTCAGAAACCACAAGTATTTGCAAACCAGAACAGGTGGCCAAACAAATTGTTAAAGATGCCATAGTAAGTAAAATCTTTGTTTTGCTTTCTGTGCTGTTTGTCACTATACTGTATTTCTGATAAGGTATTTCTTCAAGGCCTTACTTCAAAGCAAAAATTACTGTAATTATTGGAATCAGATTTATCATATCTTTTCTCCCTTTAGGCACTTTATAGATTCCTTATTGATAGTAGGTTCCTGGAAATGAATTGTATTCTTTGACCTCAGGAACAGATTTATCAGTATATGTATTTGGAACTTCATCTCTTGGAGAAGGAAATAAGACTTAGGTGTGAGGTGTAAGCAGTATATACTATATAAGGTTTGTTGTCTTCTTTCTCACAGTACTTTCACTTTTAGGTTATTTTAGGTTCATTGATTAAGAGTTTTTCTTTCTCCTTGCTGCCTCCTAGTATCATTTTCCCAAAGGTAACTAAAGAAAGTACAGCTGGCCTTTGGAGCCTGTCATCCTGTCATCCTAGCTGATGTGCTTTTTCAGCTACTGAGTTTCCTGGGACTCCCCAAAGGGATCTTTTGGAATCCATGTGCTGTTTCATAGCACAACATGTGTACCACATGCCTTAATAGCAGTGCTATTAACTCACAGGCAGAAAAATGTACATTTCTGAGGGATATCTGGAAACCATAAGCCCACACTGACCTAGGAAAATCTTTAGGACAATTGGAATGAAAGGCATCAGACCATTGTGGTACAGCCTCGAGATAGTGCATATGTAATTATGTGAGACCAAGCTGAGCAAAATCTAGACAACAGAAACCTTTATTAAAATATATTCCAAGGTGAACAGTTCTGTCTCAGTTGCCTTAAGCATAGAACAAAGACACAAATGACACAGGTGTGATTTGTTTTTCCTGCTCATTTTAAGTCAAAACCAATACACTTTGGGTTTTTAATGATCATAAATAGCTCTTCTAATTTTGGCAGAATTCATTTTTTGTGGTGGTTTGCAAACTTTTTCTTCTCTTGACAACTTTACACTCATAAATTATTGACAACCTTGGAGAACTTTTGTTTCCCTGGATTATATTTATTGATATTTGCCATATGAGAAATTGAAACAGTAATTTTAAAGATATTTAGTTGTAATTCATTTAAACCAAGACTCATAAGCCCATTACATTTCAATTGATGTTTTTTCAAAAATAATTATTTTTCAAAACAAAAATTTAGTAAAAAGAGTGGCACTGTTTTATATTTTCACTGGTGGCTTTACTGTCTACATAGACCTTAAAGAGAAGTCCTTATATAAGTTTTAACTGGATTCTCAGCTGCTTCTGTACTCAGTCTGTTGTACTATGTTGTTTTGATTCCAGCAAATGAAGAAAATCTGACCTTACACACATCACATATATGTAGTTGGATGAGGTTAAAGTGTTTTAGTAGGCTTTTTCAGATATTTGTGGGGAAATTTTTCATTTTTGATATTAAACTCAAACTGGACAAATGAAAGTTCCTTAAAGGTTAGTTATAGTGTGAAATTGGGAACCACATCAGTGAACTTTTTGTTTTCTGTGGCATTAAAATCCATCAGTCTTTCTCACACTGAATGGATCCTTTACCCATTCATGATTTTATAATATGCATTCGTCATTTGGAAAATACGGGTTCACTGCATTATCAAAAAAAAATAACATCAAAATCACTGCTGATCTTATCATAAAAGTATGTATTGGGAAGCCAACAGTCTCACCATGGTGGATACAAGTTTTCACAAATCTTAATTTTTCCTTGAAAGCTCAGATTTTAACATCACCTACAAATGCATCCAGTTGTTTTCTTCCAAGTGACAGGCTCGCTTCATTTTCTGCAAGTCGGAATAAGTCTAATTTCCCTGTTCAATGGTTCTTCCATGTGAAAATGGTGCTCCATGTATAGCAGCAAGTTCAACTCTTGAACAGTCGCACAAGGGTCTTTCTTCTAGGTGGCCATTGTCATTTGGTACTCAGAAGTACAACATAAGCACTTTATGTTAAGTTTTGTCACATGGACTACAGTGGTCCCCTCCATCCTCAGGTACATGTTCCAGGACCCCTAGTGGATACTTGAAACTGCAGTTAGTACTGAACTCTGTTTATTTCCTTTTTTTTGGTACCGGGGATCAAACTTGTGTCCTTGCACTTGCACAGCAGGCAGCGAAACCACTGAGCTAACTCCCCGGCCCTGTTTTTTTCCCATGTATAAAAAGTTTAAATTATGAATTAGATATCAGATACCCTGAAGAAGGGTCGTTTATGTCTTGGGTGAGACATTGGAGAATGGTATGAGATTCACCATGCTACTGAGAACAGCGTGTAATTTAAAACTTACGAATTGTTTATGAGATTTTCTATTTATTATTTTTAGACTTTTACTCTGGGTAACTGAAACCAAGAACGGGGTGGGGGCCACTGTATTGAGAAGAACTAACTTCAAGGGTTGTGGTGTAATAAAATAACTTACCTGCTGTATCAAAGGCTTTTTTAAGTAAAATGGGCATTTTAAAATTATTAAAATATTTTTAAAAGTTGTATTTTTCTTGTGTATTTATTATCATTGCAAGGGTACGTGGCAGTGGAGATGACAGTGATTTCTAGTTCCATTTCCAGAACATGGATTTGGGTTCCTGTCCCAGCACTTTTACCCATCAGTGCAAATGTTCCTCTGGTGAGAAAGGTGTTAAGACTTGTGTCTACATATCCCCCCAAAGCCTCATGCGATCATAGGTGGGGCTTTTCAGAGGTGGCTGGATCTAGAGTGTGTGATATGGGGATTAAGGGTGTGTGATTACTAAATTAGTCCACTGATTGGTTTGGCATAATTCTGGTAGGATTAAGGGTGCCCTATTCTGGGTGTGAGTGCTACCTGCCCTTAAGAGTAAGAATGTAATATAAGAGACAGAAAGAGGGTTATCACTTGTTGATTGTCGCTTATTGCTTGCTGGTTGCTACTTCATTGCTGCCTGGCTACCTTCTGCCTGCCCTGCTTTGTCAGTGACTGTTTTTCCTCTGCCATGTCACTCTGCTTTGGAGCCAGGCCACTATGGACTGAAACCTCTATAAACTGTGAACTGAACTAAACCTTTCTTCCTTTTCCCTTTGGTGTTGAGTATTTTGTCTTGGCAACAAGAAAAGTAAGACACAATTTGGTATCAGAAAAGTGGGGTCATTTGTTGTGAATGTATCTATCTGACTCTGTGGTTCAGGAGCCTTTGGGGCTGATTTGTGGGTAGAGTTAGGAAAGGTTTAGAGATGCTAGCTGAAAAAGCAGCCCTGGAATGCCTGAGGGTATACTTCATGGGAGAGTCTGGTCAGAGCTTAGAAGACCAGAATGCTGATAGAAATTCTTCTGGTAAAGATCAGGCTCAGAAGGTTTCTGCTAGGAAGAAGGATTACACTGGCTGTTCAACTCAGGAACACGTATGTTATTCCTTGGTAGAAAATGTGCCTGCATTTTGCCTGTGTCCAGGGACTTTGCCCGAGACTGAGATTAAAGGGCAGCAGACTAATAAATCTTGCAGAAGAAATTTCAAGGCAGTCTAATGTTGAGGTGATGGCATGGCTACTGTTGGGGGATTTTAGCCAGATTTATGTTGAGAATTGATAGCAAAGAGCCCAGCAGAATGATTCAAAATGTTGTTTGACCAGAAAGAAAGCTCCAGTAAAGTTGTGGCCTGCAAAGATGAAACAGAGGAAAAATTGGTTGCTGAAAAGACTAGCAAGAAAAAGCCAAATATATAAGAAGAAGACAACAGAAAAGATGGCCTGAGGGCATCACAAAAACCAGAAGGACTCTACCCTCTGCAGTCTCAAAATTGCAAAAGTGAAAGTCTTTGCCTTGAAAAGAGAGCCCCAGAGCACCATGTTCCAGAATGACAGAGACCTAGGGGAAGTTATTCCTCAGGATTTGTTTCATAGGCATTAGACCTCTATAGCCAAGAGAGAAGGAAGCCTGGCTACTGCTCCAGCTGGCAGCAGACTTTGGAATCATCCAAATGCTGCTGGTTTTAGGCACATGCAGAGTTCAAGAGTTGTGGGGTCAGGAAGGCTTCCACCCAGATTTCAGAAGAAGGCCTGGAAAGCCAGGCAGTGTGCACCTGAGAGGGCAGTGTGTGAAGTTGTGAGTGTGAAGTTGAAGGTGTAGTGGAGAACCCAGAAGTTTGGAGAAGCCAGGACTGTGGATTGTCTGAGGAAAACTGCAAGGAAGGAACAGAGCCAGCCTCAGAGAAAAGCCATGGGAGCTACAGCCACTGCCAGTGCCATATGGGTGGAGTCACCCAATCTCTTTGGAGTTCACAACTTGCCACTGATTGCAGGGGATGCTGGACATGGAACTGCGAGATTTGCTATTTGCCCTACTGGAATTTGGTCTTTCGTGGTTACCATTTCTTCTGTCCTTCTCTTTGTAACTTTTGGAATGGAAATGCCTATCTTGTACCATTGAATGTTGGAAGAATTTAATTTTCTTTTCATTTGTACAGGGGCTTGCAGCTAAGAGTTTGCCTTAATTCTCAGAGGAGACTTTGGACTTGGACTTTTCAGCCATGCTGAAACTGTTAGGACTTTGGCAACTCTTGGAGATGGACTGCATGTCTTTTGCGTAAAGGGATGTATATGGGGGACCAGGGGCAGAATGTTATGGCTCGTGTCTAGCTGTCCCCCAAAGCCTCATGTGGTCATAGGTGAGGCTTTTTCAGAGATGGCTGGATCTAGAGTGTGTGATTAAGGGTATGTGATCATACAATAGTTCACTGATGGCTTTGGCATAATTTGAGGTAAGATTACGGGTGCCCCACCCTGGGTGTGAGTGCTACCTGCCCTAAGAGTAAGGATGTGATGTAAGGGAAAGAAAGAGGGCTGTTGATTTTCACTTGCTGGTTGCTGTTTCACTGCTGGCTTTCTTCTGCCTGCCCTGCCTTGCCATGAACTGTTTCTCCTCTGCAGTACCCCTCTGCCATGCCACTCTGCCTTGGGGCCAGCCAACTATGGGCTGAAACCTCCACAAACTGCGAGGTGAAATAAACCTTTCCTCCTTATACCTTTGGGGGTTGAGTATTTTGTCTCAGCAACAAGAGAAGTAACTAAGACAAAAGACAATTAATATTTTAGTGTTATGATAATTATTTTGTCGATTGGTACCCCTGAAAGAGTTTGGGACTCCTCTGGGGTTCTGTGGAGTCATGGTTTGAAACTGCCCATCTACCAAAGGTATATGTCTATTTATGAGTTCTGATATATGGTTTATACCCTTCTATCTCAGCTAATGTGAATGAACACACTTCATTGGTTCTAGTTTTGCATTGATTCCTTTGCATTTACTACAATCTTTTTCTCTTTTCTCTCCCTTCTCTTTTAGCAAGGAAATTTTAATAGTTCCATTGGCTCAGATGGGTACATGCTGTCATCACTGACCTGTGGGATGGCTCCAGTAACTTCCATCACTGAAGGACTCCAGCAAGTAAGCTCTTCCTTGACCATCAGTCAGACAAATAGACAAAACTGCACTGCATCAGACCTCTGTTAAAAGAGGCTAAGAATAGACTAAGTAGCTTTAAGAATATGAAAAAATTTTGTTGAGTTATTAACTTTTCATTTCCTCTGCCAGCAGCAAGTAAATAGGAAGTAGATTAAGGCTATAACCTAAAGAATGTAGACTGGGAAGAAGTTTTCAGTGCTGGGCCCTGTAGATATGAGGTGTGATCAAAAACTATGTTGAATGGTTAAATTAAAAATAAAACATTTATTAAGTAAAAGACACACTGCCATTAATATACCTTAATATACTCTCCCTCACTTCAAGCATACTTACCACAGATCTTGGCCCTTCCTGAAGCAGTTCTGAAAGTCCTTTTTCATGAGTGTCTTTTTTTTTTTTTTCATACTGGGGATCGAACTCGGGACCTTGCAAGCAAGGCAGGCGCCGGAACCACTAAGCTAAATCCCTGGCCCTATAATTTTAGAATTAAATGTGATAGTTTGTCAATATATCTAGTATGAAGTTTGAATTTTTTTTTTTTTTTGGTACCGGGGATTGAACTCAGGTCCTTGAGCTCGCTCAGCAAGCGACGAAATCACTGAGCTAAATCCCCAGCCCTTTCATGAGTGTCTTTTCATGACTGCCTTGATGCCCTGAATTGATTCAAAATGTTTACAGAAATTTCTGTCAAAAAAGTAAAAAAAAAAAAAAAAAAAAAAAATGTGTTCTCCTCTACTTATTCACTAGATCTGGCACCATGCAACTCTGGCTGTTCCCTAAAGTCAAAATAGCTATTAAAAATAAACATTTTGAATCAATTCAAAACATCAGTGCAGCTATGACAGTGTAACTAAAGACACTAGTGAAAGAAGACTTCTAGAACTGCTTCCGAAAGGGACAAGAATGATGGGATATGTGTGTTCAAAAAGAATATTTTCAGGGGGATTAATAACAGTGAGTCTTTTACTGTAATAAAATTTTAAAAAATTAAATGTTCACTGTATTTTTCAATCATACCTCATAGATAAAGTGCCATCTCTGCTGTTGAATGTTAATCTGTGTTTTCACCTGAGAGCTACTGCTCTAAAATATTGGAAAAATGGAGATCTCTGTATATAGTAATTTAGGGTGGGCTTGCAAATAATTATAAATAATGAGATACTAGTCTGGAAATCATCCTTTGATGAGTTGGGTCACTAGTAGCTAAGCCACAATCAAGGATTAAACGTAATCCTTACCTTTAGGAATTTATAGTTTTGTCCAGGACACACAAATTAATGGACATTAATTGCTCATTGTTGTACATCCTGCGTGCTGTTTACTCTGGAGATGTTAGGCAACTGCTAACACAGGGCACCTGCACTCTAGTGGAAGAGACTGATGAGAAAGGTATTAATAGTGCAGGGTAGTGTAATTAGAGTTCTAATACGGAGATTGCTCCGGAAGCAAAGCTAAGGGTTGGTTTGTAACAGAGCATTAACTTCTATGCAGGGGACCACATAAGACTGAGGCAAATGATTTTATTGCTAGTTTTCCTCAAGGTCTTTCGTAAGTCCTTTTTCTTGTCACCCGAAGTATACCCACCATTTTGTCATTTTTTTCTGATCAGACTCTGTTGGATGTATGCTCTTTGGAGACAGAGTCCCTGTCTCTCTTGTGCGTCATTGTGCCCCAGCAGCAAGTGTCTGCCCTGAACAGGAATTCGAGAATGCCAGAGTCGGGCCGGTGCACGAAGTCCATACCTTCTCCTTGAGCAATCTGATTGATTTCTCATAACTGCTGCCTCCACACACATGTGCCACATAAAGTCCAGCCCATAACTGCCTCCTGACTCCAGTTCTGTATTTTCCCTGGAAAGTGGCTACACATCCAGTTCAACAGAGCTTCATATTTCCCCAGCATTCTGTGGTCTCCCCCACCTCCTGCCACCATGGTTCTGTCTCCATGATTGGTGCACACATTTACTCACCTCAGCCAGAAGCTGAGGTGTAGTCCCTGACTGTCCTGCCCCTGCCTCTCTCTTCCCCCAGCCTTATCCCCTTCCTTTCAGTAGCCCCAGTGCTGCTTCTAGAGCTCAGGCCTGGCTTCCTGCAGTTGACCCTGAGTTGTGTAATTTGTGAGCCAGAGGTTGTTAATGAGTCCCCCAGGGGCCAGAAAAGCATTGTTGTGGTTCACCTGGCATGAGTGTGTTTAGTTTCAAAATTAGATTTTTACATAAAAAGTCCAGATTTCAAACTTTTCTTAGCAAATCAGATCTGGCTAAACAAGAGCTGCATTCTCAGCAGGCAGTAATCAGTGGAGACAGGTGGCAGCTGCTCCCCTACAACAGTCCCTGCCCACCCTCCCACCTCCAAATCCCTTGGTCTGCAACACCCTGCCCAACCCTGCCACGTACACTTGAGTGTGCCATCACATTTCCACCTGTGTTTTTAGACTGCAGATCCACCCTGCACGAAGCCTTCTGTGGCTCCCCAGTACCATCAGGATGAAGCTTAAATCCCAGCACATAGCACAAGCCCTCTTCTGCCAGCCCCACTAACCTTTCTGGCTCCTTCTCTTTCTTTCTGTACCCTCTGCCCTCTGTTCTTTACGGGACTTTCTCTATGGCCCTCATCCCCAGATTTCCTTTATCTTGACAGCTTCTAATCTTCCTTCAGGTCTGAACTGCAACTTTGCTTTTACTGCAGTACACCAGGACTGGATACAATACCTATACTTAACCCTATGGTAGTGCTTTATAAGGCTGTATTGTAATAGTTTTTTTTCTCAAGGTTTTCTCTCTCATTTAAAAAAATAATAATCAGCTTTGTTTTGTAGAAGTTTTTAGGTTTATAGAAAATGTGGAAAGTACAGAGTTCCCATATACACCCCCCCTCACACACACAGTTTCTCCTAATTTATTTATTTATACATACATACATACAAGATCTCACTATGTAGTCCAAGCTGGCCTTGAACTCACTATGTAGCCCAGGCTAGCCTTGAACTTGTATATCTCCTGCCTCAGGCTCCCAAGTGCTGGGATTACAAGTGTATACCACCACACCTGGCTAGCAGATATTTTTAGAGAGGACACAAATGAGAGAAATTACACCAGTAGAAGAACTAATAAGTATTTTTCAAATATTAAAATATTATCCCAGATCACAAATCAGAAATGCAAGACAGAATAAAAATCAGTAAAAAGGCAAATATATGGCAAAAATAAACAAATATTGACTATCTAAAACACTTATAACACATGATAGGTTTAATATATATATACATATACATATATATGATTAACATGAGCAAGAATAATAGCACAAGAGGGAAACATGGTTAAGAGTAGTTAGTGTTTTAAAGTTTTTGCGTTGTATAGAAACAGGGTATGAGTACCAATTAACACTGGAGTTTAATAAATCGAGGGTACAACTGTAAATGCTAAGATAATTTCAGTGATAAGAGAGTGTACAGCTTCCAAACTAACAGGAAAGAAAACAAAATAAAAAATATTCAGTGGGTACAGTTTCTCTTTGAGATAAGAAAATTCTGGAAATGGATAGTGGTAGTGGTTGTACAGCATTGTGCAGGTACTTAAAGCCAGTTAGGTACTATACTAATCAGCTTTCCCTTCTCTAAGACACATTCCTTGACATCCACAATTTAAAAGAGGAGGGATTTAATTTGGCTCAATATTTCAGGAAATTCAGTCCAAGGTGGGCTGGCTCCAAGCTAGGAACATCATGGCAGAATGGCATGATAGAGCAGTGCTTAGTTCATAGTGACTGGGAAGCAGAGCAGGGGAACCATGCTAAAGAAGAGGTGAGGGACTCCAGTTTCTCCTGTTACTAACATTGTGCCTTGCCTTAGCATCATACATCTGTTTCAGTTGATGAACTGGTATTAACATATTATTATCAAATAAAGCCTGCAGTTTATGCTATGGTTTACTTTTGGTAGTATGCATTTCTGTGGGTTTTGACAAATGCCTAATACCTATCTCCCATTATAGTGTCATGCAGAATCATTTCACTGCCCTAAAATTTCATTGAGTGGCATCTTTTCATCCTTCCCTTCAGCCTCTGCCTACCAGTGAACTTTTTAGTCTTCATAGTTTGGCCTTTGCTAGCTTCCCTTTGTTTTTTGTTTTTGAAACTTATCCTAGTTTGAAACTGGTTTGCAGTTGCTCTGAAAAACAGTGGACCTTTGTTAAGCATGGTGGCTCACATGTTTAATCCCAGCAACTCCAGAGACTGAGGCAGGAAGATTGCAAATTTGAGATCAGCATTGGCAACCTAGCAAAACCCTGTCTCAAAATAAATTAAATTAAAAATATAAAATAGCTGGGGTTGTAGCTCAGTGATAGAGCACTTGCCTAGCATGTGTGAGGCCCTGGATTCAGTCCCCAGGAAAGAAGAAAAGAAAAAGAAAGATAAACAGTGGGGCCTCCTTCAGATTCCTCCTCTGCACCTTTCTCAAGGGCAATTGCTCCCTGTTCTTACAGCAAAGTCTTGCTTAGTCACCTCTCTCCCTCAGACTGCATACCTCCCTTGCTCCTTCTCTCTTCCTAGGCTGGCATATCAGATTATTACCTTCACTGTGAGAGATGAGGACTTAGCTCTTCTCCTTACCATCCTCCTCCCCACTCTCACTTTGTTACATTATTTAAATTGTCATTCTGTCGTATTGTCATTTGTTAGATATGTGTTTGAGAAGATCATTTTTGTGATTACTTAAATACTATTCAGAGCCGAGTGTCGTGTATTATATGATGATTACTTTTCCTGTTCAAAAAACCCAACTTTTTGTTTTCCCTGAAATTTTTGCCCCTTTCCCATGTACTGTTTCTGTGTATTATTAATTCAGCCTTAAATTCTTCACTGACCATATTCGTCTCCTCTTCACATACAGTATTCAGAAATGCCAGCTATGTCTGTTTCCTTCAGGAAGGAGTTCCTCCTGGAGCCTGGGGCCTACCAGTCAGCATCACTGCACAGGCATGGCCCAGAGCTGATGCCTGGCTTCTCCCCGTCCTGGTGGTCCTGGAAAATCCCTCTGCCTGTCTCTTATGTTGGGCCCCTTGTTTCCTGGATCTCATGACAGTGTCTTTCTTTGTTGATCCCCTCATTTTCTTTACCTCTTGTTGTAGCTCTCCAGGGTGTGTGTGTGGGGGGGTGTCGTTGTATGGGAGACAGATTTTTTTGAGTCTTGGCACGTTTGAAACTGTACCTCTTTCTCCGTGTAGTTTTATACCTTTTCAAGATCCCATTTAGAATTGCTTTAGTGAGAATCTGTTAAAGGGAAGATCGACAGTGAATGGATATAGTTAATTGCTGCCTTGACCCTGAAACGTAATTGCCTTTTTGCTTGATTGTCTTTCCAATTAACAAACAAGCTCAAGTCTGGAAGCACCCACTTGTAGTCTCAGCTACACAGGAGGAGTTTAGGACCAGCCAGGGCAACATAGAATCTCAAAAGAAAAAAAACCTCAGAGAGGGCAGAGGTGTGTCTTGTTCACCACAGTATTCTCACCACCTAGGGTAGAGGCTCATTCTTGTGCTCAGAACATAAATCTTGAACCAAAGAATTGTTGGTTGCTTACAGTTAGGCTCTTTGGGGTGCTGCAGTTGGTCTTCCCTAGCAGTTACAGAAATACCAGTTTGTTCTTTTTATGGTTGGAATTTATTAATCAGACAAATATTTTATCTCTCTGGCAGGCTCAGGGCTATACAGTGGTACAGAGTAGACATGTTCTATTCTCAGAACTTACTGACATTTACAAAGTTTTCATTATACTTATCCTTGGAGCAGATTAGAAAATGTGTCCTAGAAATTACCAAGACCTCAATTCCTTGAAATAAAGCGAACTATTGTATTGCACTGCTGGATGAACTAAAAGGTCTCTGTTTTGTCTTGCAGGTGGTCACTATGGGCCTTTTCCGAACTATTGCTCTGTTTTACCTTGGAAGTTTTGATAGCATAGTTCGTCGCTGCATGATGCAGAGAGCAAAATCTGAAATTGCAGACAAAACTGCCTAATTGTCATCCATTTGGGGAAAAAAGAACTGTTTCCAGATAATTCGAACAGCTTGCTGCTACATTGGACCCAATTTTTAGCCTACAGACACTTGTCTTTTGTTTGAATATGTAAGATTGGACCAGAACTCTTCAGAAATCTGGCTTCAGGCAAAGGGATAGAAGTCCAACTCCAGACAATATTATTAACACTATGCAAATATGGAATAGGCGATCCTTTGAGGTGGAGCAGTGGTAGTGTGAGAACTGACAATGTGTCAGCAGGGTGAAGAATGGAATTCCAGAATGATAAGTGGAATTTTTTTCTATTTATTTTTTTCCCCCCTCATAGAGATGAAGTCCAGAAATGTACTTTACGGCACATAAGTCCTGGGGGCTTTTTTAAACTTTCCATGAAAGGCAGTGTATGGGTTTCTGGGCTTTTTCTTCTTCTTTTTTGTTTGTTTGTTTGTTTTTGGTACCGGGGATCGAACTTGGGTCCTTGTTCTTTTGAGGCAGGCAACAGAACCACTGAGCTAAATCCCCGGCCCTGGGCTTTTTCTTCTTAACTTGGTGTATTTTACTCAAGATGAGTTGTATGCATTGCCAGTGTGTCTGGACATCTCCCTGTCATGCTTGTTCTGCTGCTATTAGAACCTCTCTCTCTTTGATCCCACAAAGTGACAAGGGGGACGGGAGAGAGCAATGCAGCAGAAGGTAAGGAGTCAGTCTTTTCCAGTAGGGAAACAATGCTTTCTTGTCTTCTTTTGACTGATGCTTAGGACTTTGCAGTTTTCATTCATGGAGAAAGGCAGCCTCCTCAAGTGTTTTCTGAAGAGAAAATAAAATCTTAGATGCTTACAGAAGTTTACAGTTTCCTCAATAGCCATGAAGAGCTGAAGTTCACCTGTTCTATGTTAGTGTCTGTCTGTTCTTCCCTTCTGTCCCTTGTCCAACTTTGCTTATACTGCTGTAGTGGGCCGGGGATTTAGCTCAGTGGTTCCAGCGCTTGCCTTGAAAGCGCAAGGTCCCAAGTTCAATCTCCAGTACCAAAAAAACACCAAACAAACCTGGATTGTACTGCTGTAATATTTTTGTAAAAGAAGAAAAAAGACCAGCTAAGATTTTTGACTTGACTTTTTAAATTAATTCATGAGTTCATTAAAACAAAAAAATAAATAAAAAGTGTGACATTCTTAACCTAGTAGCATATATGTAGCTTTTAGGAAAGGCTGATGATTGTATATTTAAATTATACTCATTGAGAAAAAAGATGAATACTTTTGAAGATACTCATTTTTTTGAAATACAATAATCTCCCATTTTTCTATGACTCTCCCACTGCCCTGAGAACAGTATCTTCCTACCACATGTTACAGAAGCCCACTCCTCCCTTTGTAAAGCCCTGGAAATCCTAGCCCTGTGAATGCTGTTTCTGGGTTACAAGACCTGTTCATTTCATGGATTTCTACAGCAAGTGCCTATTATCTGTCCTGTCCACCTCCACTGTGGCATCCTGTTTGTCCATTGCACACACTGCTCATCCCTGCACATACAGTAGTGCATTCCAGTTCCTCGGATGGGAAAAGACTTCTACTTTTGAAGAAGAAAATTTTTTATTGTAAAAAAAAAAAAAAAATAGCAGACCTAGAAATTATAGCCAGAATTTTTTTTTTGCTTTTGAAGCTTTTGACTTTAAAAAGTGACTTAATTCTTAAATAATAAGATGTTTAATGGCTCCATGGTATCAAGATCTGCAAATGGCAAATTTAGACACTGATAAATACAGAAGAAATTATTAATATATAAATTGCTTGGTATAACTTGATTACAGTTTGCAAGAGTATGTTGATGCCAAAATGGTCTCATGAATCTTTTAGTCTTTCATAGCCAAAGTTTGCAGTCTATGTGGAGTCACATTGTGCAGCTGCTAAAAAGACATAATGTATTTTCCTAAATTATATTAATATTTATACATTTCTCAGTTTTATTTTTCTTATAAACACACCTTCAATGTTGGTATGCTCTGCTGATTATTAAAATCTAGTCTTAAGGTGGTGTTGGATTTCATAAAATTAGCAATAGTTATTACAGTATATATATTTTTCAAACTATTGTCAGTGAGTACTGTTACTCAGGTAATCTAATGTCTGAACAAATTTGAGAACCCCTTTCTGCAGTGGGAGATACTGTCCGTAAGTCAGTATAGGTCAGGCACAAGAGCAGATTCACAGAGGTCATAATGAAATGGAATAAGCTTCGTCAGAGATGTTAAAGGTCCACATCCCCTTATCCTCAAACTCTAAAACTAAGTTTGCTTATTTTTCTCAATTTGATGCCATAATTCGTTAGCAGACTTGAACTGGTGCACAGTTACTGTGTTTTTTTGTGCCATTTCATGTGCCTGTTTGAAATATCAACAGGTTTGATTTTATAGGTATTGCCAAATTCCAAGGAGGAGTTTCTTGATACCCATTATATGCCCCCATGTTACCTTTTTAAAATCCAACAAATTACGAATTTGGAAAAACATCTGGCCCAGAGGGTTTTGGGTAAGGAATTGAAGTCATTTAGGCAGCTTCCCACGATATTCTGACTCCATCCAAAACATGGAAATATTACAAAGAAAATTCAAAAATGTTTTAATCTCTTTTGGCTTGATTTTTGTACAACTTGTTTTTCTGTTGGGAAGAAGAAGAAAAGAGGACCTTTAAGCCAGCTGTTAGGGAAACTGTTGATCTTTTTTTTAAGGATCACATTGATGTGTAATACCTATTGTGGATGAATCTTACCTATGGCCATAGTTTTAAAAAATTATCATTACTGTTGCTGGAGTTTGAACCCAGTGCCTTGTGCATGCTAAGCCTGAGCTCTACCACTGAGATTCACTGCCCGCCCCCAGCCCTAGAAGTTTAATTGCAATCCTGTTGAACTGTTGACTCTATGTGACCACCAACAGCTTATATGAATTTCAGTTCTGAAGTGTCAGCTCTGCTGGTTTAGTTTTATCGTTTTATTGTAATATATTTGTGACTGTATTTATAAGTTAATATTCAGGCATATAAATTTCCAAAATATGTTCAAAGACATTTTATACTTGAAAAATGTAAAGAAAACAGTCGTTATTTCTATTTTCAAAAACAAAAATCATGGCCTAGGGATGTAGCTCAGTGTTAAAAGTGCTTGCCTGGCATGTGTGAGGCCCTGGGTTTGATCTTCAGCTTTACAAAAAAAGAAAAAAAAATGTGAAAATTGTTTGTTCTACATTTTTAAAGTTAATTTTCACAGTTAAAAAGACTAAAATGCTGTTATGGTGGTCTCTACATTAATACCTACATATATTTAGTTAAAAACATTCATCTGGATCTGTTAAACCATGTGTTGATTCCTGCAAGTGAAACTGCAAGAGACTATTTCTGATATTTAGGTGGTGAAAGCATTTTGGTAATACTGATTTCATTCAATTCAAAGAATTGTATGTTTCTTTCTAGAAGAAGGCAATACCAGTTTTTTTAAATGAATTATGTCATCAGGTTTAATTTTATTACATCATGTTTTAATTTAAACATTAGTATTACTCACTTGAGGTCACTTTTAAATATTTATATTTTTTGATGTAAGATGCTTTGTGTCTTATTCTTTAAATTTTTAGTAGATTGGTTTTAAAAGTACCGGCTAACCATAACTTTCCAATTCAGGACTGGATGTTGCTGTTGAGATTATAGCTCATTATAGCTGTGGATTTGATATTTTGAAGAGGAGGTAATTGTTATTATATTTTACACTTGCTTGAAGTGACAACTCTAAAGACATTTTTAAATTGACAAAAGAACACATGGCTATTTTGATACATGTTAGAACTTGCGTTTGCTACTTTAGAAGCTTTTGTGGCAGAATTGTAACCTAATTTTCATATCTTGTATTTCTGAATCGCAACAAAAAATAAATGGGGAACAAGCTTTACAGATCTCAGAACTTATTTTTCTAGAAATTTGTGTTTTTCAGAGACCACTTGAGCAAAATGTGAATGTTTTCTATAATGTTATCTTGACTTGGCTTCCTAAGCATTTCACAAGGCCTCATTTAAATCATTTTTAAGGAGATAATTTTTTGAAGTAAATGCTTGATATTCTGAGCTCTTATTTCAAACATGTTCTGTATATAAGGCTTTGATATGGGATATATGAGCAAAAGTTTAAGAAATGTGGAATGTGAGCCTGGTGTAATAGCACACTCCTGTAATTTCAGCTACTTTCTGAAGCAGTTCAGTGTGTTTGAAGACGGAGTATTTTTGAGGGGGTTTAAAGGAAATGTGTCTTAATGTAATAATTTTTTACTAATTTAAACATTTACCATAGTTTTCCATCATAACTCAAATTCCAGATACCACCAAAATGTAGTTTAGCTGTGAGGAGGGAAAATGGAAGGGAAGAATGGGCAAGTATGACCAGGTCATACCATACAAAAGAGTTAGATTCTAGCCTTTGAAGAGCTTTGAGCAGAAATATGAAATAACTAAATTTTAGTGTTAGATCACCGTACTGCTTGAAATTCAGTTTTAATGTTGCTAAGTCATTAGTCCTTCGCCACATTAGTGTGAAAAGCACCCCATAAGAAATATATTGTGGGTTGAAATATCACCCCAAAATATTCTGAAGGCCTTTCCCTTGAAACTAGGGTCTATTCGATGTAATCAAGTTAAAGTGGGGTTATTAGGATGGGTCCAAATCCATTATGATTGGTGACCTTTTAAGAAGAGAGAAAACAACTAGAATAAGACCATGTCCCATGAGGGCAGAGACTGAGGGATGCAATTGCCAGTCAAAGAGTATCAAGGATTGCCAGCCATCACCAGGACTTAGGAAGAGGAAGAAAGATGCTATCCAAAGTTTCAGAGGAAGCATGGTTTCCTAGGCACCGTGATTATGCTCTTGTAGAACCAAAAAAGAATATATAAAATAAATATTTCTGTTGTTTTAAAACACCCAGTTTGTGGTTCTTTGTCACAAACTTCAGGAAACCTTAATCACTTTTTCTGTTTGATAGCAATATTTGAGAGATATTATTCTCTGCTAAATAGTATAAAAGAAAAGTTATTGTACATAAGAATGTAGATTCTTCACCTATTCTCTTTTGGTATGATGGTATTACATACACCTTGTTTGGTTCTATGACTCCAGTTTCAATCCAAGAAGAGCAGTAGGTATTTGGAAAATATAAGGCAAGTTCCTACCCATAGCTTGTTTCACCTTAAATGCCAAGTTATTAAGTTTAAAGAAAAAAAACTGTCATAAGCAAATTTCCTATGATTTTCTTTGTAAATCAAAAGTAAACACTTGCAAATTAAAACAACATTGAGATTCCATCTTCCCCCAGAAAAATAATAGCCTCTATCAAGAAATCCATAACAAATACTGGCAAGGCTGCAGGGGGAAAAAACACCCTGTTACTTTGTTGATGGAAATATAAACTAGTGCAACCACTATGGAAATCAACATAGAGTTCTCAAAAAATTAAACTAGAAATTCTATTAGACCCAGCTGTTCTAGGTATTTTCCCAAGAATTAAAAACATCATACTACAGGGCCAGGGATTTAGCTCAGTGGAGCTACCGGCTGCCTCACAAGCGTAAGGTCCTAAATTCAATTCCAGTACCAAAAAAAATCATACTGCAGTGATACATGTGTAGCCATGTTTATAGCAGCACAACTCATAATAGGTACATTTTGGAAGTGACCTATATGTCCATCAACAGATGAATGCACAAGGAAAATGGTCTGTTCTGGAGTACTACTCTGCCCTAAAGAAAGGTAAATTTGAGTCATTTGTAGGAAAAACGGATGCACCTGGATACCATAATTTTAAGTGAAATAAATCAGACACACAAGCTAAAATATCCCATAACTTACATGAGAAAATTAAAGTATAAATAAAGAGCAAAAAATAAGAACGGAGAAAACGGAAATAGACCTTTTGTAAATGGGAAGGGGATCTAGAGATGAAAAGAGAGGAAGAGGAATAAAAAGATGTATATGTATTTGTATCTGCTACCCACAAAAATTGTAATCATACACTGCAAAAATATTAAAATTTTTTTAAGTAAACATTTGTCCACTGTTAAACTTGGAAACTTTATTTGCAAGATTTATTTGTAGTTTGTTACCTAGTGTCAAAGGTTGTTATTTTTCTAAGTTTTTGAGGTTGAGTGAGGTTAGGTGGATTTCTAAGTTAAACTAAGGCTTTTTGTTTCAGAATTGATGAAAGAATGGTTTGAGAGCAGATTGGACAACCGGGATGTGATCACTTATAGCAGAAGAAAGGCTGTGAGCATGAATGAATTGGGAACAGTATTGTTGGGGCTTATGCAACGCTTTACCAAGTACTGAAGTCATTTGAAAGAGTGTGATACTACTCAGCATAAGAGTTTATAATGTTTAAAATATATGAAGTTAGAAACTAGCATTTTAGATTACTTACGAAGCCTGTGAGGGTTTTTGGGGGGTAGGGTGCACAGTACTGAGGATTGAAACCAGGGTATTTACATTGAGCCGCACCCCCCACCTATTTTTAATTTTTAATTTTGAGATAGGTTCTCTGTAAGTTGCTAAGTTGCCCAGGATAGGCTTGAACTTGTGATCCTTCTGCCTCAGCTTCCCAGAGTCCTGGGATTACAGGCCATTGAGATGTCGTTTCTTAAAAGTTTTTCTTTTATGCAAGATACATGTACTATGTTTTTATCCTCTCTAGTGAGTTCATTTGGTTTATGGATTTATTTTTACTTCATTTGGGGTCATAGTTTTCAACCTAAAAATCCTAATTTTTATTTTTAAACTCAGCATCCTATTAATCCATTCCCTCTTAATGGTCTCTTTTCCCCCTTAAATAAAAAATTTAATAGCCAGAAGATTTTATATATACTCACATTAAACAATATGTTTAGATTAGAATAATGTTTTTTTAATTTCATAAATTTAGAGAACATTTACATTGATGATACATCAACAAAACTTTTTGAATAATGCTGTTGAACACCAACCAGCAGGTGGCGAGACCTGGCTATAAAAAGCTTTTTGTTTGGAGAATGAAGGGAAAGACAGGCCTTTCAGACTCTTGATACAATCTCCATTCCCTGTATCTTGCTCTTTTCTCTTCCTGGTGCCACCCTTCTGGTGAGATCCATCCAGGAAGAACGGGGAAAGGGTGGGCCTTCAGCTCTGGAAGTGGAAGACGTGAACAGTGCTCCTCTGGAAGGTCTCAGGCACAGGTGTGGTCAAGGACTAACAGAGACCTTTCCTGAGGCTGTTGTATCCCAGATGCCACATAAAGAGCCAGTCTAGGAAAACCGTAAGGAGGACTCTACAGGAGCAAAGGAGAAGTCAGGAAGCTTTTCTTTCTCTGGGAATAGGAGACCCACTTCCTTCTAACTGTCCGCTTTGCAGAAGTACAACTGCTTTTCCTGCTCTGTCCTCTCATTTCCTCACCCACATGCTGGGTATTGAAAGTGTGAAGGCTTTCAATTCCTCCTAAGTAATTTTAGGGTTTTAAGACAAAGGATAATGTTACGGAATTAGTACAGCTTACACTAGTTTTACAGGAACGTATATCACAGCTCAATGTATAATACAATTCCTATGATTTCTATGAGAACAAGTATACCTACCATACCTACTGTATTTCAACCCATACCTACTGTATTTCCAGGAGAGCCCCCCCCCCCCCACTGCCCCTGGATAAAGGACCATCGCAGCACCAAAAGGGCATCTAGGAGCCTTTCTCTTCACTCAGCCTTGCCTGAATAAGAGATTTGTACCAAGGTACCATACTTTCTTATGTGAGAGATGCTGGCATGACTGATACAGAATGGAGAATATAACATGAAATAAAAATGTGGGATTTTTTCTTTAAAAATAAGTGCTTTTATTTTTAGACCTGGGAATAAGACAAAAGTAAACGTGGTGTTAGAACATAATTGTACCCATCGTAGTAGTTATTTGTCATGTTTCTATGACCACAGTAATCCAGTGTCCCTATGTATTTGTACTTGAGCCTATTAAATTGCTGTGCTTTCAGTAAAGTTTTTCGTGATGCTTTGTCAAAGACAAAGATAAAAATAGTTTAAACACGTGCAACTTGTCTTCTTGTCCCTTTTTCTTAGGGCTATTCATGCTGGTGAATTAAAAAATGTGTCGGTGCTTACAGAGATCTATGCGTATGTGTGCATATGCATATCATACTTACTGGCTGCTAGGCAAAGGTGGAGACATTAAAAAACCCGCCCACCATAGTGTTAGGATTGTGGCCTTGAAAGCTGCCATGCCGCACTGAGCCCAGCCTAGGTCCACCTAGTGTTAGGGCAGAGAACAAGCATTTACTGAATTTACTGAACCACTGCAGAGCCTTTGATAGTCCTCGCTGAGCCCCTCATCCCCCGGCCCACTGGTCAGGTCTGGCCTCGGTCACCACCATGGGAGTTCAGGTTGAAACAAGCCGGGGTGTACGCGCGTGTTCCGCGTGGACACCTAGGAATCAACTTGGAAGTAAACACGACCACGACGCTTAGGACTTTCTCCCTGGACATTGCTTAATGAATGTGCAACGTCGCCTCTTCCCAGGAGGGCAGCGCTGAAGTCTCACCGGCTCAGAGGTCCACACCGGCCTCGCTTCTCTCCGGGCGAGGGAGCGCCGGCAACATATGGGGATTTGTGTAACGTCTGTGTGTGTAACGTATGTGTGTGTAACATCTGTGCACACACACACACAGAAAGGTCCCGATGCCTGTTCCATCCTTGTTTTCAGCTCGCCCCCGCGGGCCCGGCGACCCCCGAGCGCGCGCCAGGCCCGCCGCAGGCCCGAGGAGGCCCTTCGCACACCCACCGCGCCGCGGCCGCGCGGGAGGCCTGCGCCCTCCGCGCCACCCACCGGCCGGGCCCTGCGGGCTGAGCGGAGCCGGCGGGTGGGCGCCC